ATGTATTTCTGAAATGACCATATAAGTATGTAGCAATACACCTATGTAATTATTACCAGGTAAATACAGAAAATGAGGGGTGAGCAGGCATTGCAGCTGTATCACAAGGTTTAGGCATGCAAAATAAGCGACATCAGTGCGATGTTGGATGCCCTTGATGCCTGATGCCAGTGACTCTATATGTTGCTGCACAGCGATGAGACGAAGATGAGGTCGAGTCATACGATGAAACCGGGGTAAGAACGGTAAGAACGCGGCCCATCTCGCATGACAGGGGGGGACGGACATGAATGTGGAAGAGGTGACGGCAAGGGGGGACGGCCATAAAGGGACGGGGACGGCCATGAAGGAAAGGGGGACGGCCATAAAGGAAAGGGGGACGGCCATAAAGGGAGGGGGACGGCCATAAAGGGACGGGGACGGTTGCATAAGGGGGGGGGACGGATGCAAATGCAGAAGAGGTGACGGCAAGGGGGACGGCCATAAAGGGAGGGGGACGGCCATAAAGGGACGGGGACGCTCCCACGACGGAGAAAGCACGGATTTCGATCGAAAGAAGGGCGGAGGCCCCAAAAAAGGACTGTGCGAAGGGGGACGGGGGGACGCTTACATGAGAATCGTCCCAATAAGGCAGGAGGGGGACGGGGACGTTTGCACCCCTGCAGACGGACAGCACATATAGATAGGTATTTGAGGCCTGTGAATCGATTGGGAATGGTCCCAGACCTTCCAGAGGTCAGCATTATTGTGATATGGGAGGTTGGCTCAAATATCGGTATTTTGAACATATCTCCACAATCCAACCGCTGTTTTTCTTAATTGTTGGCTCATATCCATCCTATCAATACCCTCTATGATATATACCAGCCCGCTAAAAGATATTTTTTCACAAGTTTGAAACCTATTTCTATTTTGACCCTATAAGTGATGGACAATTGACTTATCATTTACTTATCTATCCTATCTGTACTATAAAGGACCGAACAAGTTGTTAGAACATCTCAGGTCTTTTCATAGAGCCTGAGATGTAAGTCTCATATATTTTTCGCGTTATTCTAAAGAGCTAACATACCATTAGATATTTATTCTACTAGGTACTTTACCCGCTCTTACTTGAGGTCTTTTCATAGAGCCTGAGATATATTTATTCTACTAGCTCCCGCTTCGTGCACCACTCGCCTGAACTCACTTTATACAACACTGGATGTATACCAACCAAGTCATGTTCAATGTTCTCATACCAAGTTCAGTGACTCACCGGAGCCGCCATGTACCACATACCCATGTCAGTATAAGCACGAGCACCAGACTGCCATCATCATGCACCATTAGACAAAGGTCTCGAAAGACAACAGAAGTAATACAAGTTATTTACCTGTGGGCGCGATGTCCTCGCCTGTAATATTACTCCAATGGATTCGATGTACTGCACTAGTGACCATGACTGAGGTGAAGGACTTTATTTGTGTCAAAACGGAGGTAAGCTTGCCTTTTCCTCCTATGTGCGAGATTTCCCCTGGTATCTAGACATTCACACTGGTTTACGTTGATTATCAAAGCACGCTGCACGCCCTTCAGCTGGAGAGCGACGCAAATGATACGTTTCGGTGAGTACTTCTAGCGACTAGCAATTGGCGCAGGTTCAAGCATCGAGTTCAACACTCAGGGTGACGTGGGAGTACTATGATGTTGGTCAGTACTGGCAGACTGATGGGAAAAGCGTAGGTCCTGAGCAATCTATTTCCACCTCCGCCGCTTACGAGATGTGTATGACTCTCGCTCACCAGCAAGCTGGCTGACGCTGCGAAATGGAAGTTTACGAAGTGTTCGAAGTGATGTCCTGATTTATGCCTGCTGAATTGTTGTTACTACCTTTGAGCTTGCATGGCACGGTAGTGCTCGGAATACTATTTAACTTTGGCAATCTCACATCCGCGCAATGCATCAGGTTCTTCAAGAGTAGCAACAATTGTAGCTTGAATACCACTCAAATTGAAAGAGCTTCGAGGAGCCCTGAATTTGCCTTACGTCATCCAGTGCCTGTGGCAAGCTGCAGCCTCTCAGACTCGTTAGTGGCACCCGCACTGAACAACACCCTTCCTTGAAGTTTCTGAAGATGCGATGGAGTGTAAGAACTGCGAGCTGAGACAACGTCAGTACTATTGCGCCAACTGTCTCAGAAACCAGTACGTAAAATACCTGTCATGAAGCATGGCACCCTGCGCTGACCTGCCTGGCATGCAGTCTACGCGATTTTCGCCTTCAAACTCACCATTTTTCCTCGGACAGAGATGAGCATGTTGCTCGTGCATCTCGTGCACTCAAGTCTATCGAATCGGGTCGCCTCCTTCGTTCAGACATTGCACGAGCAGACCGCAGCCTCGATCAATTAACAGATGGTCTTGCCAAAGTGAGAAGAGACTGTGAGAGCAGTGCGTGTCTTACCCTGACTCACGTGTGTTGTTCTAACCTATCTAGAGCGCGACCGCCTTCGTACCCTCCGAGAGTCCCTTGCTCAGCGCAGACGCACACTTAACGCCGCACGCCTCCTCCCACCCCAATCACAAACGCTCACCAAGGAGTCTCAGGAACTTTCTGTGCTGAGTCAAACTATTGCTAGAGCACGCTCAGGCCTTGTCCAAGAACTAGTGGAGGTCTTTCACGTTGTCGAATTCGGCGGACGACCTGCAGTGGGCGGGCGACCAGGCGCAAGGGGAGAGTGGACTATTGGTGGATTGGTTTTGCCAGTACCAGGAGATGTTAGACGTACGTTACAAGTGCTTACTGCACCAAGGATTTGACCACACAAGACGTATCATAGGATACCCACCGGATCACATCAACGCCGTGATAACTCATACCATTCACTTTCTGGGACTTCTTACTTTCTACCTAGGCATCAAACTCCCTTTTGAAGTTTCGTGGTCCTGCAGAAGATTTGGGGTTGGTATGCCTTGGATCGGAGCAGGACGAGGGAGTGAATCCTGGGCAAAGTGCGTCTACTCTCCTCGCTTACTGCTTGAACTTCTTCGTTCATCATTCTCTCCTCCCACGCATAGATGGACAGCTAAACACCCTCTGCACCTCACCTCCAATCCTTCATCTACACCATCTTCACCCTCCTCCTCGCCGTCCCGTACTCCACCCGCCTCACTAGCTGACTCGGAAGCTCCAGAACAAGTCCCAGCACACAGCCAAAACCAATCATTCACTACGGGCTTTGCGATGCTTCTCTACAACGTGTGTTATCTTGCTCATACCCAAGGTGTCGAGATTCCTTTGTCCCAGGCAGGCGATGCATTGAGTAATTTGTGGGCTGTGTGTTGCAGCGGAGAGCTTGGGCGGTAAGTTATATTTTTACTCATATTTCGAGCCATCGGCGATCTATTTCTCCTTCATTGTTTATTCGTTCTCGTACATTTTTTTATCCAAAATCGATGTTCTTTGACTGACATCACGATAACCCGTTTCAGTCGGTCGCATTCTACCACCCCGCTGCTTTTTCCTCCAACCCCTCCCTCGTTCACGCTCGACTTTGCCCAGGTCCTGCAAGCCACTGCTGCTAGTCCTGCCCGAGCAGCACGAATACGCCCGGGACGTTCAGCGCAAGAAGCTGGCATCGGAAGAATGAGGAGTGAACGCATCGTGGAGGAAGAAGATGGCTGGGATGTGGTAGAGCTTGGGGGCGAAGAGGGATTTGGATAAATGGATGAGCTGGGAGAGACGGTGGATGATTAGATGGGTGGTGACTATAGATGTTTGGGACAGTTCGGTTTATGGGCTCACGTCGTGGATCGCACGAGACCATGGATTTGCATTAATTTTGGTGAGTACACATGTATATAAACAATCGGCATTGGTCTATATCTTATCCTGCTAGCTGTGTATCAACTTAGAGGCCTATGATGGTGCCGGTATCCATGTATTTTGTAGTCGTATATGTGCGTCTTGAGATGCGTCTTTGATTTGATTGCTGACGGCAAAAGATGAGCGTGTCACGGTGTCCCCTCAGGGCAGCAATCCTACATAGATACATCGATGAGTAGCGGCACTGAGTGAAATCGAAAGAGTCGCTCTATCTTCAAGGTGGGATCGAACTTTAACTCGGATCCCCAGTGGTTCGCTTGCAACTTGCTGTCTGCTCTTGTCTGCGCGCGACCTTGTTGACGCTGATCTCAGAAACTTGTCGTCCGCAGACACAAATCGTCAACGGTATATCGATCTTAGGTATTATGAGGCTTCTCTGAATCAGCTCTGCGCTCGTGAGTCTGCTCGCGTTTGCAAGGCTCAGCTTTGCGACATCGAGTTCTGGGGACTCGGTTCTCGTAGGTTCTCGTGTTGCTCGACCCGTTATTAGATAGGGAGAACAATTCGATCTTCTTTGGTGGACTTGAAAGTAAGTTGCTGAATGCTGAATGCTATATGGCGTTTGCTGACTCTGCCGCGCTTGGTAGAATGAGGCTATAACCTCACGTTCTGTGCTCTCAAGTACGTCAGTCCTGCAATCACCAACTACGGCGTGCTGAACTTTGACCACGTCATCCATTTTGCACCAGAAACAAAATGTAAGTTCAGAGTTACTCCTGGATATCAATCTACTAATTCTTTCACAGCATTCGCACAAGACATCATGCATCACCCCGTAGTCGCTCATAGGAGCTCGTAGGGCTCCTCTCAAAGAAAACCGACCACCTCATCGCGCTCTCTTCAACAAACCCCACTCACATCACTCGTAACCGAATTATCACTCATTCCACCACCTCCAGAAACACCATTCATCTCATTTCATCCCGTTCTCTCTGACCCAACCACAATCCCTGTCCCCATCCTAAGCTCATCTCCAATGCTCACCCCAGGTATCCTCCCGGCCTGGTTCTCCGGCGCCCCACGTGCGCTCGGTAGCAGCCCAATGCTCGTCCCCATCTTCCGCGCACCCGCAGAGCTTCGTAGCCGACTCCACAGACGGCTCCGGCGGAGACGCCGCCGTCGACGAAAGGCGGTGAAGGCTTATGGGCGGGCAGTCAGATGGGCCTCGTCACCGGATTCCAGACGAACGTAAACTCCCGCAGCGTTTTTGCAGGCGGCGCTTAGTTGTTCAGCGACGAATATGCGAGGAAGGAGGCTCCTTCTGGAACGCCGTCTGGAAACTCGGAGTTTGCGAGGGATGTTGCTGTGTGGGTTTTTTAGGGAAAGCTTGCGCTGCGTAATTGATAGCGTCGGGCATAATCGTGTTAGCTCAACTGAGGGGCCCTAGATGTATACCATCAACGATGAAATTGTAAGTTGCGAGCACGTTTCAAGTGGATCGTAATATGTCGTCTTGTATCAGGTATACATGGCGCATATCTCTTCACACGACAGCAAGACCTCGACGTGGAGGCCTTACAGCAGTATCGACGACTCGCAGTTGGAATTCTCGATGCTTGACACTCACATCCGCACTTCTCTACCGCCTGTTCCCGGCTCCCCAGGTACAACCAGGTTCAGTTTCGCGCTCCTGACAGGCACGGTATTTTCAAGTTCGTCTTGAACTGGAAGAGGAAGGGGTGAGTCAACAACAACTTGTTTATTTCGTCTCAACCTCCCAAACTAATCGTTTTCTAATCAAAGCTACTCATGCCTCTCATCGAGTACAACTGTCCCCGTCGTGCTGCCGAGGCATGACGGATACCCTCACTTTTCGAGCGCCGCGTGGCCACATTACACAGGAGCCATCAGCACAAGTGTCGCATTTTTTCTCTTTGCTGCTTTGTGGCTTGCAGGAGACGTCAAAGGCGGAAGAAGGCATCCAGGTGCTGAGCAGTCATTCTCTCTCTCCATTCTGTCTCAGATACAAAACTATATATATCCACTTCTTTCACACCTGGATGCTCTCGAGGACATTGAAGCTAGCAGATCCGACTCTAACTCACATCGGCTTTCATGACCTACCACTCCCACAAGTGCCGATTCTGGATCTTGAGTTTTCGCAGTTCGACAACGATTTTTCACATATACCACCATCTAATGGGGTTGTGATAAACCCCAGCGGCTCAGTGCAGACCAAAAATGCTCGAGGGCTTCTATGTTCAAGCTTACAACAAGACTACAAAATTGCGTCATAGTACTTCAGTCATATTTTATGCATTCAAGTATTTGAGATTTACTCTATTCCAAGATCTGCCATCAACCGCACTGCACCAATGCGAAATCAGAATACGACTCACTGTAGTTCACTGTCGCGACATGCTACTCACTCGTCATGATATGCAGAAAAAGAGGAGCTACCACGCCAGTAAGTCGTGTGATTAAATCCAGGACGTAGACTACTCATACTCACAATAAATATGGAAAAATCGAGGCTATAGCTTACGCCGCTTCCCCAATCCACCCTGACCGGCCGCTGCACTTTTCCGTTTGACGCTCTCCACGAGGTTCTTGAGGCTGGTGTCATCCACCTTTGCGGGGGCTCGTGTATTTTTCTCGTCTTCAGGGCGACTCCTTTTTTGGTGCTTCGTTCGTTCATCAAGAAGGGCCACCATACTTTTTGTCTTTTTGAAGCTGTGAATATATCAGCGCCGTTTGACAACGCAGAGGACGATACTAACTGAGGATTACTGGGATCGATGGCGAATTGATAATCCTCGTGGATTGCCTTGAACCGGTCATCTTTAACGTCGACAACGAACTCATCCTCGACTTCATCATCTTCATGGTCCGCCTTCTTTTTTCCCCTTTTCTTTTTGCCCTTCTTCTCCGCCTTGTCGATGGTCTTCATATCCTGGCGTGGCGTTGGCTCATGGGCGTCCCGTGTTCTCGAAACTTGCTTCATCGACTTCGATGTCTTCTCCGCCTCAGATTCAACCTCGCTCCCACTGTCACTTGCGCCCTCGAAAAAGTCGTCATCAAAAGAGACCTTTTTCCCGGACTGCTGTCCACCTTCAATATCCACGTCTGCCGTAGCCTTCACTCTGACCTCTTCCTTTCTCTTTTTACGTTTCTCCCTCATCTTCCTTTGATATTTCTCCATCGTCGTCTCGTCCCCAGGATTTTTGGCCTCAGTGAGACCAGGAGTAAAGGTGATCTCCATGTCCACATCGTCATGTTGTCCCGCCTCATCATCCCGACCCCACCCCTCCGGAAGTTCGTCATCATCTCCGGCAAGAAGCAACGCACGAAGCTTGTCTCTCTGGGCGTTCTTCTGGCTCTTCTTCTTCGACGCAGGATCTGGATCATTATCGGACTCAGAAGATGAGGATGCGATATACGCCTTGAAGTCGGCTTCGTCGATCTCTTTCTTGGTTAGTGGTCGTCTAGTAATGTGATTGCGCTCCGGATCATCATCGTCCCAAGTGAGCTTGACTTTTGAATGACGGAGAGCCTAAGAGCGAAAACTAGGTGAAAAATAAAAAATGACGATGGAATCCCCCTACATCTGTCACGAACTCTACGGCTCGATACCGCGTTCCGGGATCATCTATTGCCTCGTCGCTGTGCGTGGTCCCGATTAGATGAATGACCTATGATACCAAATTGGACTCACCGATATTCTTCATCGAATGTCATCTCATCGGGCACAAAGCTAAGATCAAATACATTTGCTGAACGCTCAAGTTCAGTACCTTCGAGTTCGTTGTAAATGTGCACAGCAGCTTCGACGGTGTCACATTCAACAATCGCGTAATAATACCTTTGAGTGTTTCGTTGAATACTGCAACCAACACATTTAAGAGGTAGCGCACCGTAGTCTTTCTAACTGGTACTTTCTCAGAGCGTTTTCATCATAGTCCGCTCCGTCTCCAGTTTCGTAAATCGTCCGTTCATTGACATCGTCTTCGTTTTCTACCTTCTTCTGCTTGAATACCTCTACAGGCGGTCCCTCCTCCTCCTCCCTGGCGATGCGCTCTTTCCCAAACTCACTTGGATATACACGGACGCTCAGCACCTTCCCTCTTGCGACCGTTGCCTTGGCGCTTTTCGTGTTCTTGACAAACTTTTCCTCCTCGAGTCGCGTTGGTACAGATGCTGGAAGGGTAGCAGGCGCAGCCGGCGAAACAAGTGACGAAAATATTTTGTAAAGATGCGCTGCGCGGACATGGTCCCAATCAAGATTAACAACAGCCAATCTTCTGGTTTTCTCCGCAGCTTCTTTACTGTCGTCTTCTGAAACTGTTTTTGCATATGCAGCAGCTTGCGCATCCAGATCGGCAAAGGTGCTCTCATCAAGATCGATCTCGCCTTCTTCATCGAGGTCTCTGCCTAACGTGATAAATCCCGGGCCATCGCTCTCCTCGTCAGAGTCGCCTGCACCCTCGCTTTCCACCTCTGATTCTGAGGATTCCATGAGGACGCCGCCACGAGCGTAGTCAGGTAGCGTAGAGGTCGGAGGCTCTGGTTCCTCATTTTCATGCTCCAGTCGATAAAACCGCCTGAGGGTGTCTTTCTCATGAGTCCCGGAAACTTTGCGACCAAATTTATCCACTCTGCCTGTAGGCACATTGTGAAGTGAGGAACAGCAGAAGATCAAGTGTGAAGCGCACCCAGTTTTTCTTTGCCTTTGCCTTTTTGTTTCAATTTCGTTTTTCCAGACCCGTCTTCGTCAAAAATTCCTTTAAAACGCTCATCGACGACAACTTTTGACTGGTGTTTCTTGGGGCGTCGGAAACGGGGGTCGGTCTTCAACCGCGCAAATCGTGGATCAGACATCGTGCGTCAACGATGAGACAAGTCAAAGACTAAGTAATATACGCTGGTGGGTGCTATTGCGTGACAAAATAAAATAGGTGCTTAGAGGCTGTGCACGAACGGTACCATGAAGCTAACACCTACCTTGAAGTGAATCTGATCCAAATTACCACCTGGTGGTCAACTTAAGCGTCTGTGCGTGGCCCTGCAGGCGTGATGATTCCTAGAAAACTAAGAACTTGCTATGCGTTTAATCTGTATGACACCACGTGATCTTCGTTTTCGACTTTTCCTCTCGCTTTGCGAGATTCTACCATCGCGAATGACGCGACCAACGCCGTCTTCCGACGATGCAAAGGAGGACGGATTTGCTAGTCTACGGACAAGTATCCTCGGAACCAACAACCAAGTTCCCAAATGGGCTCCAGTGACCTTGGTGAGTAGCCCGGTTATACATCAATTGGATGGCCTCGTACTCAGTTCATATGCACTGGTAATTGCAGCTGACCGTTTCGTCTGTGGCCCTTGTAGCGCCGATAGTCATGTTACGACGGTATAGGCGCGGTGTTATTGCCCAGAATCTTCAAGAAGCTACAGCGCCTCGTCGAAGGGGGCGTGGACTTCCACCGACCCCCTTCGAATCACATTCTCCCCCAATACGATCCCGTCCTACCTCACAACCAATACTGAGAGGGGTCCCGGCCCATCCGCCACCTCTGAATCTACCCGTATCGAATACAGATAGCGGCGAACAATTTTTCAACGCTCCTCTGTACACCTTCAAAGCATTCAGCATTGCTACGGCTCTTGTGACGCTGGGTGCGACGGCCTCTATTTGGGGAGTAATGAAAGCTCTAAATGCTCGTGATGTCCGTCTTTCCATTCTATGGGGTTTCTTCTGGAACTCAGGCCCATCCTTCCTATAGACCAACGAATTTGCGGAACGTCTGCGCCATGCAGTGCTGACCAAATTACCCGTTCTCTCATACCGAATATATCGTCCAGCCGAACCTCACCAAGACGGTGGTGATGATTCTTCGCTAGCGGAGAACTCTGCATCGGAACCTGTAGAATGGAATTGGAAAGAAGCAGAGGAGCGTCTTAGAGAAGCGTTTGACAAGGGGGGATTTTATAGCTGGGCATCGGCTGCCCTCGTAGAGGTGGAGGCAGAAGCAACGGTTGAAAGAACAAGAAGGGGTATCATTCAAGACCAGAGGCCGACTAGTTGATATTTAGCAGATCTTACTTCCAAGCGAATGATTAGCAATATAGCGCGGGCATGGTGCATGCATATATCATGGTAGGCATAAGCAGGTGTAAAAGAAGTGTGGATCATGCAGCAATGCGATGCGACATCCTATCAAGATGTCAAATATTTTGTATCCATGCAGTGCCAGCGTCATCTATGCCTTCGCCAAGCTCTTCCTGACCACGTCTCTCCGCTGCTTCTTTGCGACCATGACGTTGAACCGCTCAAAGTCATTCAGTGATCGTCTCTTCTCCATGGCAGCACGTTTCTTGGCCCATGTCGAGGACTCCCACTTAGCAATGGTACCCTCCTTGTCCAGCTGCTTCAGAATGACACCAGACCCTGCGCCGCGAGGAAGTTTTGTTAGAGCGAGAGGGGTGAGGGTTAGGTGGCGGTAGGGGAAGGATTGGCGCGGTACGCCGGTGGTTGGGCCATCGATGATTGCCTATACATTGACAGGACAAGTGTGAGAACAGCTCGAGTTTTCTGGGATATGATATATTGCACGTACCCGGTTGTGGTCTATGATCTCAACAATGATGGCGATCTTGCCTGAAAATGGGCCGGACTTGAGAAGGACCACTGTTAACAATTTAGCTCATTCAGTGCAACGTCGAGTCGGAACCAATCGTACCTCGTCCAACTTCGACGAAACGCTTGAAAGTTGAGTCCTACAAGGGAATATCAATATTAGATTTTGATTCAGATGAGCACAGAGAATGATCGATTGGTATGCGCCATATGATACGGGTTCCACCAATGCATCAACTACATCGGATATGTGAACGCCTGCATCCATCTTAACCTCGACCAGTTTCCATCGAAAGGCATGTCGGAAGCGGCGCGATTCTTGATCAAGGGTTCTGAAAACAAAAGGACGGCGACTTACAGTCATAGGGATTGCTTGAGGGTGTCCGTCGACGTCGTTGATGCTGGTCGTGCAGTTGAGAATGGTTTGTCGGAGTTTGGCGCGGGATTTACCGAGATGATTATTTCAGATGCCGTAAAAGCAAGTACGTGCTATAGTGGATCTACAAATCGATTGGACATGTACTGTATACTGTTAACTGCAGCGAGAATGTGTCAAGGAAATGTGGGCTGAGAAGCAAAAAGATATATGAGGAACGCAAACACCGTGAGTGAGTCAACGCGCTTTGTCTCTGGCATCGCATCACAATGCCGGAGACCAAGCGCGTTGCCCAATTGAAAACGGACAAAGTGGCAAGGTGAGGAGTGTTAGAGGCACATGTAGGCATCGCGAAAGCAGTTGATACAATGGTACACGAACGGTACAGGCCCTACAGGATACGAAAACTGAGTGATCAATCATCTCTATTATGCTCTTGTCGGGGGTTCGACGAAGATCCTGCTTGGTGCTGACGCAGTGTTAATACAACACAGGCAGTATGTCACGGAGTAAATACGCACCTGTCTTAGTTTTGCCAGATGGATCTTCAGTGTTTCTGCATAGTTCTCAAACCCTAGAGACACCATGGCGTACAAAATATCTTCTCCTCCGATTGTTTTCCGCTTCTCCATTTGACATTTCTCAGCGGCCTCGGAGGTAATGAAGCTTATGAACTCTGAAACACATTCCTGCACGCACTCCTTGGCATCCTTGGCGATTTTAGCGGTGTGTGGAACGGACTGCTTCATGATACGGGAGACATTGGCAATCTATTGAACAAGTAAGCAAGGCCATTAAGCCCGACGGATGATAGTGCGTACTGGTAGGAATCGGTCCTGCTCGCGGTACTCTCCCACCTCTTGGTCTGTGATGGGCGTCGGTTGCGGCGGCTCGTGTACAGTCTCTGGAATACTACCTGACCCATCTTCCTGAGGCGCGATCATGGGTTGAATTTCTGACATTTCGACCGATAAGTGCGAGAATACTTAGCACTGCGTATGCTCAGCGCTAGCTGAAGGGTTACTGAAAGGGTCATATTCGTCACCACCAGAGCGACTTTTGCTGACCTTCGAAGGCGATGGAATGCCGTGAAGTTCCCACCGTCGGTGGCGGCATTTCCCAAAACAGTACTTCACGGCACCCCGGGTCCAAGAACATGGGAGCGCCGCTCACTCGTAAATCTATTCGCACCACTTACTCGGACGGATTTCATACATGACGTGCTCGCAATCTTCCCCCTGACGATAGATGGGCCTACGTTCTATTCAACTCCCGGGGCGGCGGCACCGAGTGAAACACGTACGTTCAATGTGGCAGGTGCATAGCTCTAGCATATACATGCAGAGGTGATAGGGACGTATAAGCCACCCGTGTGGAGGCGCGTACTAACCAGTCAGCCAGCTAGAGTTTGATGCAGCGCCGTTTATTCAATGTATGATGGTACGCCCTGCCGTATCATGGCATCATATTTGTAATATTCCGTGAGTCGCCAATCTTACCTCCTTTTCCCAGCGTTCCGATTTGATCACTTCGACCTATCTCTCACAGCATGTGATTGTTGCCGGTGAGCGCCTATTGCGCCTTTATCTGTGGTCAGCCGTTAGTAACTGATAATAACTAAATACCTTCGCAGAACTCTCCAAAACGTGAGGGTCTAAAAGAGCTCTCAAAACAGTAGTGGGCCTCAAGCTCTGTTTGAAACCACCGAAGCCGTTCCCTTTCCTGCGCTTGTGCTCTCAAACGTTACGCCTGTTCACACCTCCATCCTTCAAGTTCATGTCGACACTCCCTCGACACCACTACAACAGCCAGAGAACCCTCCGAGGACAGAATGCCGTCCTGTATCAGGCTGCTGCACGAGCTTTGGCGGAAAGGAAGACATGAACACCGCAACAGGGGTACACAATTCCGAACTTTGAACGTTTCATATACAGTATTTTCATAATTTATATCGCCCACTCTCCGGATATTTTAAAGTGCGTCATAGGACATCGTCAAGCGCACAGAGATTTGTTTACTCCCATGATTGTCATCCGAGGTCCTGCAATTCTGTGCAATTCTGTCATGCTAACTTTCCTGGTCAGGGAGATATTCCTGGATCCGGAATACACCCACACTAAACATTCGGTTAATGCGTTCGACGTCTACAGAACCTATGTTGGTGTTATATCTAGGCACGTCGAACAACAACAGAAGGTTCTAGGTGCATTGTTGCTGGAACGCTTACTAAACCTGATATTTGTTCGACATTCATTAGAATTGGATCGAAGCAGGAAGTAAGTACTCTGAGCACACCCAATTAAATATCACCTATCCGCATATTCAAACGTAACGACAAAGTCAATCCAGCAGGCATAAATAAGAACAGCACTACAACCCGAGTGCATCCCCATTGCGTCGGCGAGAAACACTCTTTGGGACTCCAAAGTCTGCACTTAAGACCTGTAGGAGACTGGATTAAGTTCCAGCCATCCCACGACAATCAAATCGCAAAATTACCTGAAAATTCAGATATAGAAAGGAAGATGGGACCCTTTCGTCTCCTTTCCACAAAGTAGGACGTGAAGTCCCAGAACAGGAGAACATCGTTGATTGCATCCACTTCGATGCCGACGACGCCCGTGGCTAGGCCTTGCGGCGTCCTATTCAAGTCAACCTCGGTGTCGCTGTTGAACTTGAGAGCACCCGTCGCTTGAGTGAGGAGGAAGTGTGTAAGGGCGGACACACTCAGACAGATTTGAAGCGTGACAATCATGGCATCGGTATCGATGGCGAGGTCGAGCTGGTGGAGGGTGTGAATACGGTTCTAAAGGGTGTGTGAACGTCGATAGCAACGGTGACTGACCTCAACAGAGCCAAGCACAATCTTGTAGACTTTGATGTCATCTCCCGGAGAACTCTAATGTATATATTTGGCTTGTCCATCATCGAGCTTTACTTTCTCGATGCACTCTCTGAAAAACCTCAGGTGCACTAGGGAATTTTGGGTTAGGTCCGTGATCTACCCGGAGTCCGGCGTACTCACGAGTAGTATCTATGAGACCGCGAAATGAGCATTGCGCCGAAGTACTGGAAAAATATGAATAAAAGACCTTCGGCGTTCGTGGAATCAACTTCGACGAAGAAGTGAGGCTCGACATATTGTAGGGTCTGTGAGCGAGAGGGACAGTTAGGCTACATGGCTAGAGAGGATGGAAATAAAACGCGCAGACTTTATACCACGGGCACATCGTTATTATGGTTAACAACTGAGGCACCTTGACACCTAGAACTGCACGATGAAGGCACCAGGCCACCGGCCTTCGTCAGCGTGCGATCTAGAAACGGTTTATGCGACTGTCCATATTTCTGGACCTGGAATGGAAGCAGACTTTTTTAGCCGCGCATGCATGCAGATGCGAGTGCACTAACGAGATGGAGTACCTTGTACCTTCAAAGACCGTTAGAAATCCCCCTGGTGGTGGAGGTACATGTCCATTTAGATCCTTCGTTCGCCTTTACGCATTTGACTGATGCAGAAAACTCATAGATGGAGTATAGATACATGCCTTGATAAATACCTCCTGCGCACCTTTCGACGGCGAATTCCACCAGCTGCCGACAGCGGTCGAAATGCAAAGCCAGATAGTAGTAAGGATTATCCCTAATCATCCCTGATGGTCGGAAAATATAACGTGAGACCTTGCACTGCAGATATTAGTGGTAGTGAAAGTGAAAGCCCTACATCCTTCCGTTATGATTCTACCTCTGCCAGTGGCACGCATCGGAATTTACTTCAAGAAATAGTTGGGGACAAGATGTCGGGGCCAGATTTCACCGCGGCATCATACTGAAGAATCTAGAGGATGACACGTCAATTAGTTTGCTAATTCATGACAAGCTTGAAGCTGCTGGCCCCTGGTAGGCACGACCAGGGAAAAATACATCGGGACAATGCAGCTCCCGCCCTTTCTCGGGCCTGAACAAGTTCCCGTATGTTGAACCAAATCCCAACGGGACCTGACAAACAAAGTGCATTTGAACGACACCCTTGCGCTAGCCTGAGACTCTGAGTCAACGCAATTTCGATGGAGAAAGTATATTATGTAGTTGAAATATTGAAGTTGTTGAGCTATATATACGGAAAAAAAGTATTATGTACTGACTAAGCAACTGGCGTTCACTCCAAAATGGACTCAAGCGCTGAACGTCACTCACTAATAAAACGCGTAAGGTGAAGGAACTTCGACCAAAAGTCACTGGGTACCTCCATCTGCAGTGAAATTATGATATTTGAAGGTACAAGGCACTCCCTTCCGTTAGTGTACTGATGGCTGCGTGTGGCACGGCCGAAAACATAATGGCTGCTCCCATTTCCAGGTCGCACAACTTGTCGTTCGGTCGCATCGAGAATTAATTAAGCGACGTACGTAGTTATCTTTTGAGATAATTCATATGTTCTGAACTTCTGATTTGGCTAATAGGCACGAGTATATACTGAAAAAACCTAATGAGCATGTTTATAATCTTTCCACAGGCACTGAGTCTATCCGTTACAAGTACTCATGTTCGGAGTGCCTGACCCCATGTACGTGATATTCATCATAGACAAGAGCCAGGCTATAAAACGGGCAGTTGCAAAAACTTCTTCCACAGCAGCTTTAGCACTTGATTCCTCAGTGTAAGATGACGAATATCATCGAAAAGCCCACTCAACATCATTCCGAGATGTCGAGCACATCCTATACAACTCGACCCAACGATATCTCACCCACAAGCGTTGTTAACGACTGCGATCAATGCTCTCGGTACCCCAATCGATGGTCAAACATCAGGTAGTACCTATCCTCAAAATATTGACACTAGTTGATTGGACCTGTTACAGGGAATACATCTCCGCACCTGCAGCCGAGTTCATGGGTGCCTTCATTTTATGTGTGTTTGGGTGTGGTGGCAATTGCCAGGCGAATCTTTCCGCCAATACAAGTGTGTCTGCCAGCCCTAAGGGCGTGAGTTCTAGGCATTGAACGCGATGGGTGGACTAAAGCTCACTAGTACCTTTCAAAGGATGTTGTCACGTCCAACCTCTGTTGGGCCCTTGGTGAGTGGCCCTTGTATTTTCGTGCGTCAACATCTTGCTTACAAGCTGCTCAGGACTCTCCCTCGGTGTGTGGATCTCTGCAAACTACTCAGGTGGTCATGTGAACCCTGCGGTGAGTGCATCCTCAATATTTTTGCATGCAACTATTTGTGTTGACTACCAGTAAGGTCACCATAGCGCTTGCTACTGTCCGCGGGTTTCCCTGGAAGAAAGTTCCCATCTACCTCCTCGCGCAACTTCTGGGAGCCTTGTGTGGATCAGGTGTGGTCTACGCCACTTATTACCATGCAATCAACCTCGTCGAAGGGGGTTCCAATATTCGTACAATTGCGGTAACTGGTGACCTTTTTGCGACTTACGCAGTAAGTTTTGCTTTTTGTTGACATGACTTCCTCTGTCTTATGTGCATCGAGGCCGATTACCTCACTCCAGTCTCCGCCTTCTTCACCGAAGTGAGTCCACGCATAAATAACAGTCTTCGATCGTGAATGGATACTGACGACCAGATGTAGTTTGTAGGGTCTGCTATGCTCATCACTGGAATTTTCATGTTCACAGATAAAACAAATGGCCCTACACCTCCCGGCGTGCTTCCTGTTGGTATATTTTTTACAGTCCTTGCCATCAGCTCTGCTCTTGGCATGAATACTGGAGCGGCCCTTAACCCCGCTCGTGACCTGGGCCCCCGTCTCCTCACTGCCATGGTTGGATATGGTCGCGAAGTCTTCGATTTCAGGACGCAATATTGGTTCTGGTGCCCTATCCTTGGCCCGGTTTTTGGCATGATTATGGCTGCGTTCTTTTACGATGCCATGCTGTACAAGGGTTCCGATAGTATTTTGAATAAGCCGTGCGTTCTATGTCTGTGGATGATGTAGATACTAACCCGTTTGTTTTAGGACGGAAAAGGCTGAAAGGCACCACTTGCACTTATGCGCTCAACGAACCAATAGGCTTCCTGTGGTTGCAGACACAGTTTGACGGCAAACGCTTGGTGGCATTGGTGATCGAATGATGCTCCAGGTGTACTTTTCACTGAAGTCCCGATGACCATCATACTGCATATTTCTATTCTATCGAAGTCCGTGAAATATTATTGGTTTGTGTTGACCTTCTGGTAGGAGGATTCCTGAGTGACACTATGTAGAGGTACTTTGCCTCGTCCAATACACCGTGAAGAGAATTTCTCTAACAATTCAAGTTTTTTTCCCTTCAAATCAAGTAGACTGACCGGATCCTACAAGTTTCTAAAATCGTCCTGGATTGTAGTATGTTGAATAGAACCGGAAAGCCACTCCCTGAATAACTGAAGGCACCTAACTGCGTGATGAAGGTACGCAAACACTACGAGTTGCAATGAAATCAACAAGTTCGCTCGCCATTCCCAGTTTCTCATTCAGCACTTACACGTGTTCCCCAATCTCCATCTATTCTCGTATAGCTTTGTACAAACCTCCCGGACTCGCTTCGCTCCACAAAAACTCTGGCACGTCCAAGATATCAATCACAAGATTTACATCGCGTCTCACTCAGGCTTGGATAGCTTGCCCGTGAGCCTCATCGCATCACGGCGTTCGAGGTCGAGGGCGCCCCAGGATGCGAGCTGCCATATAGATGGCGCTGCGGGAGAAGAGTATAGAAGAGGCGACAGAGTCGTGGTGTGCGAGGAGTATGGATTGCGCAATTTGAGTAGATGCGAGGGTGAGTTCGGTGCTACGTTGTTTTAGCAACACAGAAAAGGAATATGATAGCGGTGAAAGGCCAGTTGACCAAATCTTGGGCAAATTCCGTGTCTGCCATGTCTGTCACTGCATGAACTTCGCCCTTCAAACGCATTTTGCCTCTCGTAGCACCTTCATGCTATTGCCCCTAGTCAGACGCATAGAAGGAAGATAGTTGTTCTAGAAGAAAGACTGAGACAAATATCAAAATTTGTACACGCATATTCCACTGGACCGATTCGCGCATATCAACCACTCCTTAACGTCTTTTTGTCATCCCAGACGAAATCCCTAACCTGTACCGAAACCACGCCTTCTCCTTGTGCGACAGAGTTTGTCCCCATGCACATTCGGCACTAAAAGCGGACAAACGCCTTGGAACCCCATGAGATCCAACTCCTTGTCGTTCTTCCCTAGGTTCTCCTGCCTCTGGCTGTTGATCATTGCCTCCGATATTGTCAACGGCACATTCATCACGAAATCGCCCGAAGATACGAGCTTGAGCGTGGTAACACGGGGCCACAACGAACAACTGTGGTCCTTGAAAGGTGCGCCGAGGAGGTACAAGATGATCTTTATGCTAGATGAGTGGCTGTTAGTGATCGTCACTGTATCACCATTCCACGTGCGGGTTCTAGGTTTCCATCGCATACCATTGCGCACCCATCCAACTTCAGTGAATTCGAGGAGGGTAACGATACGCGACGAAGTTCATGGACAGAATGGCATTGGTGAAGAACGATGGTCTGGCAATCGTCATCGATCGCAGGCAAAGCGTCCATGCGTGCGCGCAGGATCACTTTCTCTGCTCTGAATTTCATGTCCTGTTGTAAGAGCTGCGATGTAAGGTCGAGGATATCTTAGATCTGAGTGACCTGCAACATTATTGAAGATCAACGGGATATATTGTTATAAATTAGAATTACAATCTCGTTGCTGCGAATCATTCCAATGGACGACCCATTCTACGCAACGATGCCATCACCACCTACCGTTGTGATTCAACCTTGGGAAGGGCTCTGGGTGCACCTCATTCCCATAATACCACGCGTTCTGCATTTTCTCTCCCAATTGTTGTGTACACGACTAGCCACCGCGATCACTTCGCCCTGCAATGTGACGATCATAATTATTTTCTCAACAATTACGGTGTGAACGACTCACCAACTCCACTAGGATCACGACTACAATCAGCCTTGAATTCAATTTTGACGCACTTGCCGAGAGCAGTCGGAATGAAAAGCCAGATAGTAGTAGTGAAGATCATACCCTGATGACAGTCTAAAGATACGTGAGACCTTGCCTTGCAGATGGTAGTGAGAAAGCCTTATGTTAGTGTATTTCTGCCGCACGCGTTGGGATTTACTTCAGGAGATAGTTTGGGGACAGCCAAGATGTCGGGGCCAAATTTCACTGAACCATCTAGAGGATTACACGTCAATTATTGGGCTAATTCATGACAGGCTTGGAGATGCTGCCCCCTGGTAGAAAAGAGCAGGGAGAGACGCGTTGAGACATGTCGAGACAATGCAGCTCTCGCCCTTTAACTTGAACATAGTTCCCCGTATCATATTGGATGAAATCCCCGCGGACGTACGAAAGTGCATTTGAACTTCACCGTTGGGCTCTTGATCATGATGGGAGCATACGCCGTGCGAATGATTTCGGCAGCTCCCAACCATTAATATTGTAAGAAGAGCGTCCTCCCTGGATATCTCAGCGCTAGTTCTACTAGCGACAGTTGTGGACTCGGACTGCCAAGTTCAACAAGACTTGGTCTAGGAGTGTGTGCCTTTGTTTTGGTCAGTCACGTGAAGAGCGAGAAAAGGAGCTCAAAGTTTGATTATCATGATCTTTGTCGTCCACGCCAATGTCTACAGCGTCCTCGTCAATGTCAATAGCGTCTTCGTCGATAATGGTCTCGTCGATGACGCTTCCGAATGAACTTTGGCTTCCTATATTCGAATATCTGCCTCCGCAGTCGCTTGGTTGTGTTGTGTTGACGTCGAAGAAATTCTATGCAATCGCCATTCGTCTTCTTTACAAGCATCTGATTCTGGCGTCCCCGACATCGTTTGTAACGTCCTACTCTGTACTGTCTTTAATGCAGCCTGCACCACACGCACTTCTTTTAGGCATATCTCCTGCTCGAGGTCGCAACGTGGAGCAACTAAAAGAAGCTGTAGCTGTTGTTTCCTTTGCGGATGCTAACGATTGGACGTCAATCCCTGTCGGTGCTGATCGCCAATCAACCAGGACTTACTTCTCCCAGATCAAGGATGCCTATCAACCACGCTTCCTTGCAGACCCTACCGTCTACAGCACCCTCCTAACCAAAGTCGTCTCATTTACCTCTCTCAGACAACTCGTCTTCCGTGGTATGCTTCTCCCCCAAGATTTCCGCTCCATCGTGCACGGCTTGCCGCACCTGCGTAATTTGGCAATTGTGCACTGCACCCTTCCCGTCATCCGTACCCCTCTAGAACCTACCAACACTTCCCTGGAAATCGAATCTCTCACCGTCCTTGATATTCGCTACGCCATCGCACTTGGACCCGATGATAATGACATTGCCCGTACCGCTCTGCGCCGATTTGCAACAGCCCCAACCCTCCGCACCCTCACATATGATCACACTGTTTGGATACACCGCATATTTACATTATCCGCCCCATGCCCCCCGCTCACTGCTCTCGACGTCAAGTTCCCTATCCAGAGAGACCGTGACCGTGCCCGAGTCCCTCATGGCTTCATCCCTTTCCTTGAGGCTCTTCCCACCCTCCGCACTCTCATCTTACGAAACCACGTCCCTTCCCTCCCGCTGCCGCCACACGCTCTTCCAGCCCTCCGTACCATTTCTGCCCCTTTCTCTACAATTCCTTCTATCTGCTCCGGACGCAAAATCATTCAGCTCGATATCCGCGACGAGGCCGTGCTCGCGCCACTTTACAAGGGGTTTGTACAAGTGCGGTCTCATTTGTTTATGGTGAAAGAGCTTTCCCTGTTCCTGGGGGACTGGGACGACGAGGTCGTGTTGGCCATAGTCGCACATTTTCCTGCTTTAACCAAGTTACAAATCAGGTATGCAAGGGGAGGGCCAAGCGAGGTGCGTTGTATATCACTCGTTCATTTTTTCTGTTCCCCGACGCTGACCCCTTTGCCCAGGATACCATCATCGGCATGGGTTCACGTACACTACATACTCTTAAAAAACTGGACTCCGTGAACATCTTCCAAATTACTTTGCCCCCGCGCATTGAAAATCACCTCTTTGAGGTGAACGGCCGTGACGACGATACCTCATATGGCGCCCCTGGTATCGACGACACTTATTTCCAGAGCATGCATGATATCGATCCGGTTACAGACACAGAGGAAGAGGATATGGTGACCGATGACGAGGATGACGCTCATAGCACACCCTCCCAGCATTATGCTCATAGCCGTTGTAGCCATGGGATTCCCTACGGGATGCAGTGCCACAAGTGCATAACCGCCGCTCGGCGGGGGCATTCCGGGAGAGCTACCGCTGCTGGTAGTGCCCCCAGATCAAATTTCCAGTCTAAATGCAACTCTGAACCCGAGCTCGAAGAGTTCCGAGTGTCGGAACCGTTTGATGATTACACTCGCGAACTTGTCGTACGTCTACTACGTTGTTTACGGATTGGGACATTGGTTGTGCTGATTATGATACCCATCCCTACATACAGATCGCATGGAACCGTGCTTGTCCTGCGCTCCGAAATGTTCAGTTGCACCCGGGGTGGGTGTGGCGGCGCGCGAACCCTGCTGACTCTTGGGTGGCGAGACCGTGTCAGCGGGGCGTTTGGGGCAATGTTTTTGGGTCGACCATTGATGCGGAGGATCTGGGTGGAAATGACCAAGTGGAGAATGGAGGACAGAACAGGATGCCACAAGGGCAGACCATCACAATTCGTCTCAGGGGTTCACAGGCGTAACATGGCGGTTATTTTTATTTTGACTATTCGCATTGCTAACGAGATTGACGTATTCGTGGTTGCACAAAGTAATTGTAGGTTATTTGTGTAAGTTATTGGTGTAGGTTACGGGGCGTTCTGTGTAGGTTATTTTTTGATGTTCCGAGGTGTTCAGGTATGTACTCGTATGTATTCATATTTTATGTTATGTTTGGTCTAGTTCTTTGCTACATGCCTTGCGCTCTTTTCAGATTCAACGGAATGCTCCTCATCGCCTTCTCGAACCATAAGCCGACAGGAATAAGTGCACACGCATGATGTCAGGGCCTCTGACGGATTATCATGTTGCACCGTCCATACCGTCAATCCTATTAGTACGTGTTCCGCTGCGGTTCAAGTGAGCTGTACATACGTACAATTCAATGAGCTGCGCCGCTGAGTTTAGAGCAAATAAAGCCGTACGGATCACGATAACTTAATCCGCCTCAACGTGAATGGGTTCCCGAGTTCACGTCCTTAAGGAGAAACAACGCGAAATCTCGTGCCTTCTGGATACATGTACAGGTCCTTCTCGTGTCCTGTCTCGGAATTCGTTTTCCCGGTTGCACCAAAGGGAACCACGTTCGCAACATGCGCGAGAAGGTGCTAGCAGCAAAGTACATCCCCCGCTCACTGGAGGGATTGACTGGATGACCCGTGCAAGGGTCGACGAAGTCAAAGCGATAATGAAGCGTGCACTCGAGGTCTGCGCCCCAGATACGGACCGAGTACTCGGTAAACAATTGATGGACCCGGACATCATCGTCATCTGAGTTACGCAACGGTTTGAGCTGTGTGGAAAGAAGCATTCAAGGACGTATTTGCTGCAATCAAGATATATACATACGCAAAGGTCAATCACCGAGTGTGGGCATGTATTGTCCCACATATTCTGTATCGATTTACAAGCGGCATCCTCAGACCCTAGAAGGCTGACGTGCGCTTGAAAAGTCTCGGGAGTAAGCAAATCATGCATGTCTATTGTGCGGCCATCATCAACAGGCAACGTGTCGAAGACGGTGTGAACTTATCAATGAACCAGAGCCAGGGACAGGGGAGGCAAGACACGGGAGGTCCGAGACCGACCAGCCACGACGACCGCCAATAGACGACGTTAGTAGTAGTGAGTACGAACATACAGGCGTACTGCCAGTGGCTAGGGCTGTGCACACAAGTGTAGAACTGGGAAAGAGAATGAACGTGTGCAGTGACTAGCGAATATTAGAATTAGTAATTTACCTGAGATATGGTAAAATATTAGAAACCGAGATTTCAACCCCGTTAGTGATAGTGGGGCATCTTGGGGTGCCGTGCAGGAACGGTGTCTAGTTCACCGACGTTAGCGTGACAAAGTTTTCCAAATTAGCTCCTCTTGAGTTAATATATGATTTCCTTTCGATATTGCAACATTCAGTGTGGTTGTTCAAGTCGCAGAGACAGTGATTTGACACTGAAGCTTGCTGTCAAACAAGTCCGTGTTCAGTGATGAAAGGTACAGAAAGTTCGGGTGGAATTTTGAGTGGTCCACTTGCTTAGGAGCGTTAGGAATTCCAGAAACACCTATGCATTGCACAGTATGTGGGTGTAGATTTTTTTGCGGGCGTATGTGACATCCTTGAGCAACTACGAATGAGTGGAGGTCAGACCCTATCAAACAATTCGTCCCACGAGGCTTCAGGGGGGTTAGCCCACGTCTCGAAAGTCATTTACCAGCTTGTCCGATAAGGGTCCTGCGGTGTCGAAAGTTCCATAGAGAAGAAGTTTACTGTGCCGGATCATGATTATGTGCTGATGTTCGAGGGTAAAAGATGGTGCTTACGCCACCAACCACATCTCCAAGGTCATTATTATCTTCTTCCAAACCGTCTCCTCGGCCATTAAGAATCCCGTGTCAGTTTTGAAGGCCTCATTGCCAACTATAAATGGAACAACTTTGTGGTCCACCATCATGACATGACAATTAGTTTGCGTTTGTCATCAGGAGGTGCAGGAGGTGCGGAAGTGGAGCAACTGGTGGAGTTGAGCGCAGTTTCCTATATCCAAACAATGAAGATAGTCGTTCCTTCTGATAAGTTGAGCGATGCTCGGACGGTTAAATAAAGCTGCACATACCACTTCCTTCTTCTAGAATGCTCCGGTCTGCTACCATTCGATTGATAGCGTTGTAATTAAATTTACGCTGGAGATAGGCTTTAGTGGTGTCACCTACCATGATGATATAGAAGCCATGTCATAACTTCCTGGTGAGTGACAGTAGCACTGGAGGTAATGTGGCTATAGATCGTCAACCAGGACCCGGCCGCACAATGGGCGGTTAGCTAACCTGGAAAGACAATAGTATCAGTATCAATGATAATCGGGCCCTCACGGAGAAAAGGGATATGCAACTGAAGTTTATTTGCGACCGCGTATGAAGTCTTGAGGGTGACTCGGAGCTACTGACACCTCCCTATTACTTTGGTGGTGGTTACCGATTGGTTACCGATGATGATCAGAGTGCGCAAGGACCATAAGTACTGCACCATACGAGTGCATCTAAGTTACTAGCTTCGAAAGAAAGACAAGTTTCATAACACGGCGGTGGTGTAAGGACAGTGCGCGAACATGTCAAAATCGAAAGCACTACAAATACAAAATAACGGAAATAACCATCGTCCCTACCTACCCATCCTGGTCAGAGAAAAGTGATATCGGTCTTTGCAGAGGTGCAGGCGAGCTCGATCGTTCAGACTCTTGCGGACGGTAATGTGACTCTTGTGGGCGGTAATGTGACTCTTGCGAGCGACGATGTCCGTGAGATGACTGCGCACGCAGCGGCGTGTCAGGGTACGTGATCCCTTCAGGAATTGGCGACATCTGGTAATGTTCATCGGGTCCTCGACTTCTTGAGCGAGGATGTTGGGAGTCCGATGGCGGTGCTCCTGGGATGGACATGAACCCTGCTGGCCACTGAGGTTTCACGGGCGTGGTTGAGCGGTAGATGCTGTGAGCGTCTTGTGATTGACTTTCGGACCGGGAGCGCTCTTCGTGAGATGGGGGGAGAGGCCGATGTGCGGATTCTGGGCTTAGTAGCTCAAGGTGGGAGTTGTGTGTGTGCTCGGATGGGGTCGAAGCCTCATCGGACTGTACAAATGATGAACGGTAATACGATGCAGATGTGGGAACACATACAGGTGGTTCTACAGTTATATTCGGAACGCTTGCGGCTGACGACTGTCGGTTTTGGAAACGTTGCCTGATGTTGAAGTAGTCGAGCGGATTTCTTGATCGTGGTGGACTCCTTTTCTGGGAAGTAACGTGTGATGTGTGAGAGTCTACTCGACTTGAAGGACGTGAATCAGCAGGCGGGGCGGGCATGATGGGACGGTAAGGTCCAGGTGGCATGGGTTGCTAAACCAAGAGAAAATTAGTGCTCCCGGATATTGGATGCTGTGAAAGGCCGCACAAAATCTCTTACGGCCGTCCCAGGAGTTGCCGTAGCGACAACTTCTGGGTCTGCACGCCATTGTTCTATTAAATCCTCCCTCCGACTTCTCTCGTGTCCATATCCACCGCGGGATGACGTATGTCGTTCAGGCTGACTTCCGCTCCTATCATGAGTAGAAGACATCTCGTGACGAAGGGAGCTTCCATGTCTTTCGGCGGGGGCGCTTACAAGCTCGTATTGAGACATATGGGTCGATGACCGCGATAATAGGGATGGAGAACGTGGTCTTGGGACAGGAATCGGGGCAGGTTGAGTAGAGGGGTAATCACGGGTTCTCACAAGAGCGTAGTTTGAGTCCCCGACGTCATACAAAGAATTGTGTCGTGAGTGGTTGTCTAGTTCGTTGGATTGCGTGCTAGAGCTAGGGGCCATGGGCCGAATGAGGTCGCGTGGTGGTGGGATTGGAGTATAAGATGTTTGTGGGTCCGCTCGCTGGATCCAACTATCTTGAGGAACGTTAACTGAGTGACTGGTCGCTGGGCGCATTGGTGTGGGGTAAATAGTCTCCCCCGGAGGACCCGTCGAATGTGAGGGCGTAGTAATTCTCCCTGGCGGAGAAGGGGGCTGGACTGGGTTCACTAGTATTGGAACTGGTAAAACAGGCACATGTGGCGCAGCCTCGTACGTCCCAACCGGTGGAGCAGACTCCGGGCGCACGCTGACAATTGAAAATGAGCACATTCGCGCATAAATATGTTGTTACATACTGTCTTGAAGACCGTGGGGGCGCCCGTGATTGTAAGCGTACGTGATTACGTTCAGAGTGAACCGACTCGTCTTCCTCTTCTTCATCTCCTTCGTCTTGTCGGACGGCAGGCCGATGCGTTCGTCGGGCCGGATCTTCGTCATATCTTATCGTGGTGCTTCCTTGGTCGAAACCGAGCCGACGTCCGATTGATAGGCCCTCCTTGTATCCACGCCGCCTGCCTTCCTCGTGGGCAATCATCATCATTTTCTCTTCCTGCAACTTCCTCGCCTTAGTCCTCGCTCTTGCAGCCTCTGCCTCGGCTTCATTCTTCTGCGCAGAAACCTGGTTAATAATATCCTGAGCCCGAAAAATCTCCTTTTGAGCGTTTTCGAGCTGGAGCTTGTACAGCTTCAACTCCTCGCGAAGACGGGCTGAATCCTGTTCAGCACGCTCACGATTTTCGGTTGCCTGGCGTAATCGGTTGAAGTACTCAAGCGCACGGCGCTCTGAGGTGTTAGCCCGGTTAGATTCGGTCTCAAGGCGTTCAGAAGTAACGACGAGAAGGGCATTGATTTCACGAACCTCATCGTCACGGGCGATGAGACGGGCGAGGAGGTGGCTACTCGAGCCTCCATCTGTGGTAGTATGTGAGCGGTGGCGAGATGTTGATTTGCTCTGACGGCGGGGACGAAGGTAGCTTGGGGGGGAGGACGGAGTGGAAGGCCCCGACTCGAGATCGGTGGGGTGTTCGTTAGCGATGCTGATCCTACAAAGGAGCCTCGTGAGAGGGTTAAGACGATATATAAGCGTTACTCACCTTTGTTCATCATCGAGCTCATCGAAAGTGCCCATGGACGATGGTTATAGGTGCGATGGAGCACCTCACAGGGTGCAGATAAGCTGTGGTGCAAACACACAGGATCAGTGAAGTTAAAGGATAAACAGCGCTCCTTAGAAGGCGCTGCCTCGTGTAATCCGAACCAGATTTGAAAGGGCGTAAGATCAATTAAGTGGTGATCGGGATTATGAAAGGTGGGGTATGTGACCTGGATGTGGGAGGGACCGACAGGAAAGGTCATGATTCCACACGTGTCCCAGGCATGGTCAACCTATTCATGGATGACCGTAAGAGGTAACGGAAGGCACTGACATACCAAGATGGATAATCTGGCCTCGAGAACGCGATCTCGTGCTACTCGTGACCTATGTGAACGTTTTTTTAACGGCAGGAGTCGTTGATACAACGTTGGTGCCCATTGTGATTACACGAGGCAGGTGAGAGCCTATTTGATGGAGCTGCGGTAATGGTGTGAATTTATGACGTATAAACTTGGGGTATTGACACCGTATTGTTCTGGCGCCGCATCGACGCGAGGGAAGACGTATCGGTTTATTCTAAACAGATGAAACGTTTATTCCAAACAGAAGTAGTCATTGGAGAAAAGGCGGATTTTTAGACTGCTTGCCTCTGCATGCACAGAACCCATTTTGTACACGTGGCACCTCTAGAGCGGTTGTTTGGCAAGAACCTCTGGAACAAACAACGGTCCGCAATTTCTGCAAAGATCATCAATAGCATTGCTTTTAACCACCTCTAGCTTTCAAATGACCTTCAAGGCAACTATTCAGGCTGATCTTCTAGTATCTTTCTACTAACCGTTTATCAGATAAAACGAAGACAAAGATTCGAACCGATCGAGCATGGTCAATTGTCGCTTGACTTGCGTGACGTGGTAACCTCGGTCACGGTTTTGTCACGCGAAAAGCCGTATTAGTCAGCTCAGGTAGCCAATCACATGCGTTGGTGAAGGTGCCTGAAATAGATTGGGTATGTGTTGCAAGGTGAATTTGCTGTTGGTGTATCTCTATTCTAGCTTTCATCTTCGTCTTATTCGAATCTATAAACTTGTTATCTACGTTTTCCTCTTGTCGTTGCTGATCTTCTCCGTGCTATAGCGCGAGGTATACCCAAATAGATTCAGTTTTACGCTCCAGGTAGGCTTATCTCCCGTTGCTATCAACCACGGCCTTATCGCTTTCGTTCTTTTGACAGACTTGCCTTATCGTTTTTCGTTTACAGCATACCCGAATTTCACTATGTCTCACGGGTCTTATTCTTCTCACTCCCAATCCATCATGACCGAAGACGAAGAAGATTGGGAGGACTACGTCAAAGGAGGCTACCATCCTGTTCACATTGGCGACTCATTTTCAGACGGCAGGTACATCGTCGTCAGAAAACTTGGCTGGGGCCATTTCTCAACAGTATGGCTCGCCAAAGACACAAAGTAAGTAGGCATTTATGTCCCCACACGCGGTGCAGCCTATGAAATTGATTTATCTGACTACTTTCGTTTTTTTCCGCCGATCAGAATGAATCGTCATGTCGCACTCAAAATCGTAAAGTCCGCACCCAGGTACACCGAGACTGCTCTTGATGAGATCAAGCTGCTCCAACGTCTGATCACCTCTAACACTCACCCCGTCGCTCCGTCATCTGATAACCCAAATCCTCCCCGATCCCATGCACACACACATCCCGGTCGATCACATGTCATGTCGTTTTTGGATCATTTCCGACATAAAGGTCCTAACGGAACTCACGTATGCATGGTTTCTGAAGTCCTAGGTGAAAATCTTCTCGGTCTCATCAAGCGCCATCAAAACAAGGGTGTGCCCATGCATCTGGTCAAACAGATCGCAAAACAGGTGCTCTTAGGTTTGGATTACATGCACCGTTGTTGCGGCATAATTCACACTGGTCCGTTATTTTTCCCTCTCCCCTCGGGGCCCCCATGACCAAGTTCCGACAGACCTGAAGCCTGAAAATGTCCTTATTAGTATCGATGATGTCGAGTCTGTAATCCAAACTGAGCTTGCCGCATCAGCCAATGCCACCTCACCACCCACGCGGCTCGTCGGAGTGCCGCCCTCAAAAGGTCGTGGGGGCAACCAGACACCTCGTTCCGAATCCGTCTTCATCACCGGATCTCAGCCGCTACCATCCCCTTCTTCATCGTTCGGCAGCAGTCCGATGTTTGACAAGCTCGCATTCGGTATGAGCAAGATCGATGGAGAGGCGACCTCCAAACCCGGATCTTACGGATCTAGTTCGATAGCAAAGGATGGATCTTCTACATCACTCGCAACAACAGGGTTGGGCCTCATGGACGCATCTTCCAAGCGCGCAGACTCGACAGAGGTGACTGCTAAGCGCATCTCGAATGTCTCTCTACACCCATCCACATCCGAGTTCAATAAGATGACGACACCTCAGCCTTCCCATCCTCCAGGGCCTTCGCTATTGACGCAGATGGCCCCCTCCCAGCCCCCAGTCATAACCTCATCTCAGCCACACGCCCCCTCAACTTCCAAACCACCCGTGGAATCCAATGCTATCGACCCAAAGCTTTCCAGCTCTGTCATGTCTATGGATTCGGTACTGGCAGAGACATCTACAACGTCTAGCTTGATAGAGAGTACCACGAAGATCACGGTCAAAATTGCGGATCTTGGGAACGGTTGGTACCTTTCCTTTTGCGCTCCAGTCATTGCGTCTATATGGCTGCTCATTGACATCCGCTTCGGCGGTACTTTTTATCTCCGTAGCTACCTGGGTCGAGCATCACTTTACAGATGATATCCAGACGCGGCAATACCGTTGTCCGGAGGTCATTCTCGGCGCAAAGTGGGGGACTAGTGCGGACGTGTGGAGTGTTGCATGCGTGGTATGTGCGAAAATACCTGTTTGGAACATGTTCCTCATCCACATGACACTCCCTCATTCCTAGATATTCGAGCTTATTACGGGAGGAGACTATCTCTTCGATCCCGCGCCAGGCCCACGGTACAGCAAAGATGATGACCATATTGCTCAGATCATAGAGCTCCTGAAAGAGATCCCGAGAGCAGTTGCGTTTTCTGGCAAGTATAGTTCGGAGTTCTTCAATCGGAAAGGCGAGTCTCCTCAGAATTCTCTTCGATACGCTCTGATCGGATGATGCTTTCTAGGAGAATTACGGCATATCAATAAGCTCAGGTTTTGGCCTCTTGAAGCAGTATTGCATGATAAATACCTCTTCCCGAAGGATGAAGCTGATGCTATTTCTGCCTTCCTTACTCCGATGCTCCAATTGCACCCCGAGCGTCGCGCGAAAGCCTTTGAGCTTGTACATCACACATGGCTCGACAGCATAACCGTGCAAGGCGAGATCGATGTCATCCGCCGAGCCGAAGAAGAAGACGCTGCAAGACGCAAGTCTTCGCAACAAACCGCGACACTTGATGCTGATGAGGAAGATGCCATGAAGCCTGTCGGAGAGGCGGGTAATGGAAGCGATGATGGTACACAACAACAAACTCCGGCCCAAGTTCCGCATCAAGCGCCCATATTATCTGCCCCTCCTATTCCATCATCCTCCACCGCCAAGGAGAACACCCCGTCTTCGAAGTCGTCACATATCCGGTAACCGTTTTTTTCCGTTTCCTGTCGTGTTCTGTTCTGCACATAGACGTGTGCAATACTATACCGTAGCGCATCTTTTCTCATCTCATATCGTGTTGCTATCTCACAGTCTTGCCTGTACCCATAGACCGCGACGCGATGAACACTAGTACTACTTACCTGCCCTGTGTGTTGTTTGTTTAGATTTTCTATACCAAGAACGTAGTAAGTAGAGTATGGAGCTGCAGTTCATAAAGTGTGGGGGTCGACCTGTATGCTAATAAAGAAGTATTTGATTGTTCTTGAGGATTCTTGGGCTCTGCTGGGATTCAACTTCATGACGAGCTTGCATCTAGGAATATAACTTTCATAGAATGATACAAGTATGCTCTACGCAATCCGCCAGAATAGAGTCTCGAAATTAGACAATCGGCAGTGGCCAAACCTATAGTAAGTAAGTTGAATTAAAGTTCTCAGCTGACTAACACTACGAACACTGGCAAATTTAAACGCTGCTCTCTCCCTTGACTTCAACTTGATCCATGTGAACAAACACGATCTGCTGTTGTAGAGGCAGCGCATGTGCAATCCAGACTTCAAACTATTTCCTGATCTTTCGCAACAAGTCGGTGGTTGACTGGAAGGGAGATTGGAGGCTATAGCTACTGCTCAGCCGGCTACACGATGGTATGAGGATGTGGACTTTTGACAATTTGCTATTGTAGAGACAACGCATGCGCATCCAGACTCCAAACTCTGTTCCAACGAACAACTCATCTAGCACTCTCCACATGTACTTTGTAGATCACTGGCCTGTGCTTTCCATCATCGCGAACGCCTATGCCATGCAGACGATTGCACAAATTGCGAGAACCCGTCCAAGCTCGAACCAGCCGTAATCGCACTCGATCCAGAACTCATGATCGATGGAAGTATATACACGAGGCTTCTGCATGCACATTAATTGGGCTGTGTCGTGCACAGCTGTCCGGGTCAGTTAAGTATCTCGTCCGCTAATCACCGGCCCTCAAGCTTCGCTCCCCTACGTATTCCCTCTCACCTGTCCTCTGATCTTGTCATCTGATCAAAATGCACTCTCTGTGGCTCAAGGATTGAGGGCAATTCGTTCGATGCACCCCATAAAAAACGGACGCACGAATCGCAGCTCGACAGCCACCGACCACGGGGGCGATGGCCCCATCCCCACAGGCATCTCTAGTGCTACTATTTCTTCCGTCAGATGATCAGGTGTATCCCGTACCCGCGAAGCTTCCGACATGGCTCAATTAGCTTTACCCTTGGTACAAGCCGTTGCAAGTGCAATTCCACTTACTGGTGCTCCGATGCAAGCTGCTATTGGTGGATTATTGACAATCCTTCAAGCTATAGATGTGTGAGCTTATGTGATTACAAGGACATTTCTTAATTTCAACGGCCTCCACAGAGACGTGGTCAGAATAGTGCGGACGTGAATAGCCTGGCATCACGACTCCATCGACTAAGTTGCCATTTTTGTAACGCCCCACCTGCCCAGGATCTTCTTGAACAATCTCGGAGGGGTTCCTTAGATAGGTATACGCCTTTTGATGTATGTTGGAATTCACCCGACATCGAGTCGCACTCTAATAGGATGCCGCAAGGATCTTGGTCCAGCTCACAATGTTGCATAACCGTCGTCCCGCACACACATCCGTTTCACAAGCTATCGCCGGATGCTCCGGTGAAATCGACCGTCATCTGGCGGAGTATTTGTTTGTGTTCTACTCTCTAAAGATTGTTTACGTTCACTCATACTGCGGTTATTGGTTGTCGCCCCAAATGCAAATGCAACACAAAATGCATGAAATGTGGAGGCTGATCATCTACGCCTCCGTGGGACTGACTGCAGCGCAGTTAACTGGAACTGTCACTGGCAGACGCGACAGGCCACGCACACCCAATATCGGTGAATTTCTGCGCCTCATTTCAGGTCCGCCTCGCCAGCGTATAATCTGTCTGAGGAAATCTGACTCGTCGAATTCTCTCTAGTAATTCAATAAGATACTCCAGGTTCTGTTTGAACGCGACTCGACTGAAGCTCAAATTCAGAGACAGTATATGGAGCAAGGACGGTATGATCTGTGCACTGACGAGGGCACACGAATGACCCAACTGACAAGCCATGAATGGTCAAGCATTGAAGCGGGCACGAAGATTGTCATGAGGGTTATCATCGAACAGCAGGGGGCATCATCTGACATGTATGGTTATACATGCCATTTCTGTGGCGCTATGAATCGTCCCCCCATGGGGTCTATTAGCTATTTGTACCAACGATGGGAGCCTGGTCGCTACATTGATTGGTTAGTATGTTTCTCTACTGGTCACTGAATGCGTCTAGCAGCCGGAAGTCGAGAATGCAAACGACGGTTTCAGATCTCCCATCGATTTTGGAGCGTGGAGTGGAGCACCCGATCCTCTAACATTGACCCCGATCGCACGTCTGAAGTCGAAAAGCACCATATTCGCAATTTTCATGTCAAGGGCATGGTATGTTATCATCCAACCTCGCTAGTAATCTTACTTAATGGTGACCCGCACTCATTCTGTGTTCAATTATGTCTGTTGAGCTGCTTACCCGATGCTGATGGTGCCAGGCAATGTCTTGTGATTTTCATATTATACAGCCTGTACAGTATGCTTTCTGCAATGCACCAGAATACAGTCTCGAAACTACATTCTGGTGTGGTCCAACCCTACTTAGGCCCTCCGGAAGAACTGAACGATGAGCCACCAAAACCTACCAACGCTTGCAGATGGACCCAGCACCAGTATTGATGTGACAGTCATTTGAAATTTTCATCAGGGCAACCGGCAGTTTAGCTGACTTCCGTCGAAGTTTACATGAAGAAGTCAATGAAAATATTTTTCTATATCAACCACCGGTGAGCATGCACTTGGTCAAGCTTCACAGGTCGCGAGCACGTCCTGATAAGGTTTACTAATAGGGAATGACTTATTTTCAATTTTGTGCGGAAAACATGTCATTTTCTAGTAATCCACCTGGCTTCAAGAAGTACCTACTGTAACCTACAACGTCAGGACCCCCGACTCCTGCGATCGATGTGCTTTGCTGGGATTTTAAGTCACTGCTTAGTCCTTGGTCGGTCACGATGCTACACCCAGATGCCATTGTCCAACAGATAAACTACTCCTGCAGAAACATATGGTGTACGTCATGATCTAGAGTCATTTATTCATGTCCTGCCGATGTGACTGGGAAGCGCAGTTTAGAGCACCGGCTCTGGCATCACAATCCAGATATTGAAGAACTTTGCCTTCCGCCTTTCTGCACTGAATCCCACTGAATGACATGACCCGCCGATGGAACAACTACTTGATGGCTGTTGGAAGCTCTTTAAATCCCAGCCCTACAGGGATCCTGGAAATGCACGTAAGAGAACATGACACTTCCCTGGCAGTGGTCGAACTGTCGCCTAGGAGTCATGCACCAGAAGTGTGTGAGGTCCTGATGCTGACGTTTTCAAAGGCGATACTTATCGTGATTCATCCCCATTACCAAACCTCGCCTCCGAGGTACTACAACGTAAGTGCCCAACATCTGACAGTACTAGTGTGATAGAGCAAGGAAAGTTTGTTACGCTGAAATGATGGCCCAAGAAATTTGAAATGAAAGCCTTTGCGAATGACAGCAAAGTCCCCTCGTCAGTCTTCCCTCAGATCTTCGCCAACCTTCTCCCAAATAGTCCTCTGCATTTTATGCCACTCAGCCCGCCTTTTCTCCTGACAATCCTGGCACCAGTCATTCGTTCACTCAATATCTATCAATGCTGCTAGTCTGCACAGCGGGTTGTACTGATACCGGGTGAAAATCCCTGAGAAGTGCACAAGCTGAACCCATGCTTCGCGTCTTGCCATTGCTGAGAGGAGGTTTTTAGTCACATTAGCATTGGCAGTAAAGCCGAGTGCAGACTCATCGTCAGAAGCACTTGAGGCTCCTTGGCCATTACTGGACGGCACACTGTGGAAGTTATGACAAACAAAGGTAGGATGGGCCTCGTGTGCAGCTACCTGAGCCCACATGCCACTCAGGTACTCTCTCATCTGGACAAGGCGCAGCGTATCCGCACGGCTTATTTAATTTGATTCCTCAAGCTTCCCCAGACCGAATGCAGGTGTCCTTACCATATTGTAGAATGCAGGCTTCAATAACCCATTGATGCCACACACCCGTGCGAGGGCAGCCACCTGTCACGAATCCCAAATACGAACCATTTTTCATTTCTCGGTTTTCCTTCGGCTACTTCCAGTACCCGAGCCGGTCACGTGACTCCTCGTCATAGGTCACCCGTTGCTTCTCTGATTGGTTCCCCTACTTCACAGGCTAGAACAATCTCACTTCCCAAAGAAGAACTGGTCGGAACTTGGGTTTCTGTTTAGTTGGCGTCTTACTCATTCGCTTATATATCATGAGTCATCTTTAGTCATCCGCAGTATTGTATGACTCTTTTCTTATTGGCTGATTTCTTTAGGACTCCGATTCAATGTTATGTATAAGAGTAGGTTAGGTAGCGTAGAAATCCTTAGACTTAACCTCTTCGTTTCCTACTGTTGTAGTGACCTAGACGTTTACGCTCAATCATACTCTGTTTCTCATCATCTTTGACCGAGTCCTAGTGGTCGTGAGCTCTCCTTCATCATTATTGGTGAACGTGGGTCATAACACCACCTGCGGAGCATCGAGGCGCAGCTCTGGGTTGGCAGATAGCTCATTGAAGTCGGATGGCTAGAGTGCTTCTAACTCCTTCACCAGCTATACACCATCAGAGTGAAAACCAAGTAATATCGCTGCACGAACGAGGGACATTAGAATGAGAGCCTCGATGGTGTTCGGTAACTCCTAATGCATTCGTTAGCCAGAACGATAGAAGGTGCAGACGTGAACAGATACTTACCCAGGGTTTTCATACAGCAAAACTTGAAGCAGCACCTTGAAATCTATTGCTTTGAGCATGAGTTGCACCTCATTTTTTTCAAGTTCAATTTCAATCTCTTCAGGGTTGCCATTATGCTGGTCTTTCTCCGGGAGTATGCTTGCTACGTGTTCTGAATGTTGCGCAAGCCATAATTGACGCACCCTGAAGTGAATGCCGTCAAGTTCAAGGATAGCATTTCCATCTAGTAGCCAAAATCACTCATGCTTGCGAGGAGCACGTGCATCAGCTCGGGTGCGTTTAGCCATTTGCTTTTCAAGTTTGAGCTCGGGCTCCGGGGTAAGTTGGCGCTTGCGTGGTAACCTCTTGACTGGATTGAAATCAGGGTGGAATGGGACTGGAAGTCACGTGAGCGAGGTAGCATGCATGTAGTCGCTGGTTTTGCATAGTTGAAATCTCACCTACATGGGAGCTTTTGAGGACTGCTCAGACAGACTCGACGGAGACCGACCGATGCTGGGACGTGTTCCTCGAGGCCTCTGCGGGACTTACTAGTGGTTATGTACATTTTCAACCCCAAGTTGTAGTACCATGGTTGTTCTAGGGTCTGTGGTCACCGGTCACCCTGTACTGATTTGGAGAGGATGTGGGAAGCACTTGAGCTTATAAGGTACGCCATGTGCTGCTGTAACGGTACATATTACTACTACTGAGTCGGTACACCCTTACAACTCGCGAGCACTAGTCAAACTACATAGCAGACATGCACCAGACAGCCAGACAGTGGGGGCAGTCTTGATGGGATTCTGGCTATCTCTTCGGGGGTGATATCCATCAAGTAGAAGTTACATCTCCTACTACTATTAGGTAGACCATTTCAAAACTGCCCAAGCAACATTTGACTGGTGTGATGCGATGAGGTAAGTAGTAACATGTAACAAGGAAAGCGAAACTGTTGGGGACGAAAGCACATGCAAATCACAGCGAACACCGAAGAACGGACTATGTTATGAAGTGGAAAACGTACACTAAATTCTCTGAACATGTACCACAAACTATCCTGGCTGCTTTCAACCCCTGGTCAACTTCTCCCCAGATACTCGTCGATCTTCTCCCAAATACTCGTTTGCATTACACGCCACTCAGCCCGCCTTTTCTCCTTACAATCTATGCACCACTCATCCGTCCACTCAAGGTTTATCAACACTGCTAGTCTACGCAGTGGGTCATATTGATATTTGGTGAAAACCCCTGAGTCGTGCACAAGCCGAACCCACACTTCAAGTCTTGCAGTCACCAAGAGGCAGTTTCTAGCCACACTAGCAGGGGTGGTAGAGTCGAGTGCAGGCTTCTCGCTAGCATTTTCAGAAGGGCTTGGAGTTCCATCGTCATTGCTGGATGGTGTGGCACGAAGTGTTTGGCAAAGAAAGGTAGGGTCCTCGCGTGCAGCTGCCTGTACCCACATCCCACTCAGATACTCTCTCATCCGTAGAAGGCGCAGAATATCTGTGTGGCTGATTTGCTCTAATTCCTCAAGCGCGCCCACAGCAAAATCAGATGTCCTTGCCATATCGTGAAAGGCAGGCCTCAACAGCCCATCAATATCGCACACCCGTGTGATGGCAGCCACCTCCGGAGCATCGTGCCTCGGCACTGGGTCAGCCAACAGCTCTTCAAGGTTAGTTGGCCAAAGCGCTTCCAACTCCTCCACAAGCCATCCATGGTCGGAGTCAAAACCGAGTGATGTCACTGCGCGAATGAGGGACAATAAGGTGGGAGTTCCGATGGCCTTACGGTAATCCCTAACCCATTCGTTAGCCAGCACAATATAAGGTACAGATATGAGCGGAGACTTACTTGGGGTTCTCATAAAACAAGAGTAGATTCTCAAAATCTGATGCTTTGAGCTCGCCATTGTGAAAATCGAGTCTGATCTGTTTGCCACCACTTTTTCCCAGGTTGGGGAGCATGGCTGCAATGCGTTTTGAATGCTGGGCAAGCCACATTTGATGAACTCGGAAGCGTATACCGTCAAGTTCAATGACAGCATTTCCATCTGCTAGCCAAAACCGTTCATGCTTTTGAAGTTGCTCAGCAAGGTTGTCTGAGTCGACTCGTGCGTGTTTAGCCCTTTTCTTTGTGGGCTCGGGCTCTGGGGTAAGCTGGTGTTTGGGCCTTATGTTCTTTACTGAATTGCATGCCATATTCGTTCTACAGTCTGGGGTCACCCTGAAATTTGGGATGAGGGCCACCCTGAGGGTTTATATATGTAGGGTTTGAGCAGGTTTGAGCCTCAGTTAGCAGTCAGACATGATAATCGATAATTGACCGCGTTATTGTCCAAATTGATTTGGGTAAGTTGCCTTTTTTTGCCGAATGAAGTCGAATGGATAGAGATGTTGGTTCCTTCTAGTGATACGAAGAGTATGCGACATTGTGAATGCATTGATCGAATTGTGGTGCATCTGGGGGTACGCACAGAGTTGCCAAAAGTGCAGATCTATGCGTATTGAGACTATGTGTCCGATCAAAAAAAGAAAATAGTGATACTGGCAATTGAGTACAGAGCAATTGATAATGAGAAACTACTATCTCTGGCCCGGTGTTGCAAAACTTTTCGACCTGATAATCTAATCCGGTAGTATAGGGCTATACTGCTAGTTCGGTGTAAAACGTTGATGGACCAGTATTCTTGAATAAGGCCATATGGTGTGATTCTGACGTTTGGGTATGATCCCCAGGGGAGGAGCACAAGAGATGAATGTGACACGTATCTAAGGAACAAGCTTAAGCTTAAGTTGTATCGATTGGTTGATAAGAAGCTGAAACTGGGACCGTGGTTGACTCGTAGATGGTATGAACTTAAGAAGACATGGAATGCACAGAAAAAGACACCCCTAGGCCTAAGCCTGTAGATTATTCTGTCAAAAGACACCACAATGTCATAGAACTTTGAAGGAGGTGGTCTCCCCTAGGCAGACCTTGAGTGAGGGTGGGTGGAGGCGAAATACGAGAGTGAGTGAGAATGACAACTACAAGTTCATTGAGGGTGCAGTCAAGAACAAAGGCAGTCGGTCTGTCACCACTATGACTTGGAGAAGTACTCGGATGAAACATAGTTGGACATGGACACATTCATTGTGTCCGCTCCCAGTACAAACATTTTCAATATCCTGGCCTGAAGTGAAAACATATACGTACTATAGTTCGCACTGCAGTGCCAACAAAGCTATTTGATTTAATTAGGGATTTAACCGACCGTGCAGCCTGCTTGTGCTAGCAAAGTTCTTTGTTTGATCAAATCCAGGCTGCTCAACATTCACAACATACAGACATATCTTAGCACATACTATCCTTGCAAGGCTGCATCTTTGTATCTCGCATGCCATACATGTTTTTAGGTCCGATGGTACATTCATTGAACTTACACCAACAATATTACAGACAATACTACAACCTCTATGCAGTGGACTCCAACGGGGTGATTATATACAGTGCAGACATCATCGAAGATAATTGATGTACTAGATTTCCATTGCTTTTCAGAATTCCGGCATTGCCTCCTGCTGCTCCATTCATATCAGTCCAAGATCTGTGTGAATACCTTGGCTGCACCGCTCATATGCAAAATTTGAGAGATGGCTGCGTGTAGGGCGATGAAATGAGGGTTAGGCAACGGTATGTCTTGTGTAGGGGTAGCGTGATTCCGGAAGGTGATAGTTCTATTGAGAATGTTGCGATGTATCCACCACCCGCTGCTAACTTCCTTGACTACGTACTTGTTTTCTCGCTGGAGTGCTGATCAATATGAGGCATTCCGAGAACGAAAGCCTGCAGACTCACCTCCGTCTGTTTGAGGTATACTTTTAGCTTATCAAAAACAATGTGGGTATGATGTTTGAGCATCATGCCATTGGAAGGATCATCTACGAGCCTTTCCATATCTTGAATAGTTTCTTTGGACATTCCTGAGTAATGTCGAATGATATTCCACGTTGCAGCCGCAGTATGCGCCTGTGTAATCCAACTTGAGGGTCAGGATTAATGCTGACCTGGCAGAGAAATCCTTACCCGTTCCAGGGTGAAAACACCGACGGCCCGTTTCAGGATGTGCGCTCCTGTCAAGGTTATCCAAGGCTGATCGCTACTGGCGGGCCTGTGTTCTCCATCCCACATACCGGTAACAACGCATCTATAACCATCTCACCGATTAAGCTGTTAGAGTCAACACTGAAAGCCACCTTTCTGACAGTGGGATGTACATCGCTCCTAAATCCACTATGCCGTTCCAGATTGGCACTTACTGAGGCTGCCATAGGTGTCATCAATAATCAGTGTGGCTTGATCAGAAATCAGGTCTGATGGCTGGTGAGATCCGGCTGTGACTACCAAGGGGAAATCACATTGGTATTCATGGCAGACACTTAAGTTATAACTTACATGGCCATAGCAAATACATAAACCAAGTCCTCGCGAGGTTGACTTGCTCGTAGATCTCCGGACATGCGCAAATAGCACAGGCGGTATAACACTCAGATTTTTCACCACCGCTTTGGCGAGCGTTCCTCAGCATCACGTCTAGAACCCTGGATGCGTCCAAGTTGTTCACGCGTGGTGGAGTTTCAATCCACCTGTTTTGCTTTGTCATTAGCTGGTCTAGGATTTGTCGAGCCTGCTTCACATAGGTCGCAGTGGATATATCAGCATTTTGCATGGACAGATACACGTTCTCGTTGAAACTGAGGACAGAATCAGGTTCGCTGATGGTCTCACTCAGGTTGCTCAGGTTGCTCATATTGCTCGTGGTTCGTGAGTGAGACATGTTAGAGGACAATATTAAAGGTGTATGATGCTTGGGGTGGTTATTGAGTGGTTGTTGTTTGTAGGGCTTATAACACCTGAGATCTGAGACATGGCCAAAGGGTCTGTGACAGATCCCGTTCAAATTGAGGGACAAATTGTTAATACTTTACAGCTATGTGCAAAAACATTGACAGTACACATGTGACTCAAATACATTAGGAAATTAAATTTAAAAGTCATAGGCCACCAATTTACAACTGTGTCTTGATGTGTTGTGTCTTCCCCTAGCTTATTATCATCTTATCATTACTCTCACCATGTCTTCCATCTTTGATGACCTTTCCTTTCTGAACTTTCTGACACTGCTGTTGAAACTGAACGTGAAATGTCTCCGACTGTTCCAAGTCTTCCAACAGACATGAGCCCAGATAATGAAGAGCCTTCACCAACTGCAAAACAGCCTGCAAAGAAACGAGGATGTCCTTGCAAGCAGCCGGCCAAGACCATAGGTGAGTATATGCATCTGCATCAGTAGAGTACTCAATGTATGATTATCTGACTCTCATGAAGCTTCTGACACAGCAAAAACTGTCAATGTGCATGCTGAACCCAAGAAATCAGTCATCACGTACTATCTCACCATGTACTCGATTACCCAGATGCAAAAGGCTGAAAATCAACGAAAATCAATCAACACATTCTTGGTGCTTTCCCCTGAGCTTGAGTTTACACGATCAAAGCACAAATTCTCAAAAAGATCTCGGAGGGTCTGAAACCGAAGATGATTGCCTTTGAACACTACTCTGTCACATGGACCATACCACAGACTCAAGCATCTTCTATGCCACTATGTTCACCCACAGATTATCAGTTTCTGCTGGACCTTGCATCAAAGCAAAAGACTCCCTCAGTGAATCTTGTGATCAAGGCTCATCCACTGAAAACTAAGGTAGTGTATGCTTTTTGAGTCAATGTATGCACTAACATTGTCATAGAAAACCAAGTCCTCAAAGAATAACAAGGACTCAGACGAGAGCCGAGATAGCGAGAGTGAGAATGCCAATACTGGCGATGAAGATGACTGGCCAAAAAAGAAATCAAAGGCCAAGGTAATTTGTGTCTTTCATGCCTGAACATTATATAAATGACAGTTGCAGAAGAAGCCAAAGTTGATGATTAAGACTGTGCTCAACACAAAGATAAACTCAAAATCCAGCTTCTTCAGAATTGTTGGATGTGTTTGAAAGCAGGATGCTCCTTAGATCATTGTTTCATGCACCCTGAGCACTCTGAACACTTTCCACTCGGTCATGATCACTTTGCTGTGTGGGCAGCTGCTTGGGTATTCTCTCAATCATTTTTGTATCAGTTTGCTAGTTATTCATGCAATTCTTGGCTGTTTGACAGAACAAGGATAATAGTCTCGCAAACATGGAATCACCACCTAACCACCATAAATTCAACATGATACCAGGTCATCAATTGAATGAGTTGTCTCCACTGCTTCAGCATTGCCTTGCAAATCATAACCAACCAACTGCCAGTAACTCAGCTGCTCCGGTGTTCAACTTCAATATACCTCCAGAATTACTCAATGTGTTCCATCCAACAAACATAAAACCAACCAAGGAGCATGCCCCTCCTACAATGCAAGATCAACACTCTCTTCTCCAGCCTGGATCTCATCATGACCCTGACCTTTCTCTGGATGGTTTCTGTGCTTCATACAATCTCAGTGATGGGATCTGAATGAGGCTGCATGAAAATGGATATATGAGTGCAGAAACTTTGACCTTCATTGTCATTCCAGAACTATGGGAGATGGGTTTCAAATTTGGAGAGATTGCTGCAATGAAAGCAGCTATGAAACATTGGAGCCAGTAAATTTGGACTCATCATTGCAAACAGATTCTCACTCTCATTTTGTTGTACTTGTGCCTAGACATCATTGTGTTTCATTCTGCATTGCTCAACAGTTCTGTAATTGTACACCTTGTGCTATCATGTATAGTGTTTCATAGAGTCTAGAAATAACCAGCATGCATAATGTATCCTTTGGCATCAGAGTCGGTGATCACATCCATCGCAATGTACATGTCATATATGATACCATCAACATCATCTGAGAAGTATTCTTGGTTACGACAAATAAAGGACTTGATCTTGGAGAAAGCTTCTTCAATAGGATTGAGATTGGGGGAATAAGGTGGTAGATACTTGAGTCGAACACCTACCAATGCTCAATAAGTGAATATGAGCAGTGACTCAAGCCACCTACCAGCTTTGTGAATGAGTTCTGCAACACATTCTCCATGGTGTATCTTGGCATTGTCCATGATGAGCACACTCAATTTACCTGGGTATGGGGTGCATAATGGCAGCTAGTAGAATATGAGAGATGTTCTACCAGGAATGATAAAAAAACACTTACAACATCCCCTTCGAGAAATGTTTTGAATGTTGCTGTAGTGAATGAACCCTTGACAACAGAGACAGCCACCATGCCATTGATAGTGAGCAGCCTGAGTCCAGATAAGTGATGCCCAGAAACAAAAACCTGTTTCTTCACAGCACGAGTGCCTTTCAATGACCTCCCATTGGTTCTTCCCAATGTCCTCTTATCTTTTGACGTCTCATCCAGGAATCCAAGTTCCTCAGGTTCATATTGTGCCATTCTCCTGATGAAATCTGCCTGTTTGGCCTTATTTCTTTCTTTTGCAATCTTCCTCAGCTTTTTGCAGGAAATTCCAGCATGTGAAAGCTCTCAGTAGATGGTCATTGTTACAGTTAAGCCCAGCTTAACCAACAGTGCACTTGATAGGGTCAATCCCATGTCCGCTTCATGGAGCACCGAGACAATGGAAGACTGAATGAAGGCTGTTCATCCAAAATGACTTGACTAAAGGATCAAAGCAGATACTAGAGTCGTATATCACAAGTGAAGATCAAGTTAGAGAAATACATGGTCTAACTACAGTGGTATATATATAGGTATCGTCCTATGAGTTCAGGGTAGGCTTGGGTAGCCAGAAAGCGTCCCAACTAGGTAAGCATCTATGTGAGTCATAAGGACTCAGAGATAAGAGTACCAGTTTAATGGTAAGGGTCCAGGGTATGGTACTGGCACAGCGGTAGGTGTCCAAGTCAGATAACGCTATCTGTCATAATAAGCGATAGGATAAACAATAGTTGTTACCAGTGTATCAGTAGGGGTGATAAGGGAGAAGCGCGCTGCTTCTATTGATCCCAGTCTAGGTCCAGTCTAGAGCTGTCATGCTCCAACAGCTGTCATGCTGTGCTCTGTAGTTCAGTCACGTGCTGGTGATGTCATCTGTCACGTGTTGTGACACAGTTGTGGTGGCGACATTTTGGTGGAGACAATAGGGGTCTGAGGGTCCCTGTAACAGTCATGTAGTGAACAGAAATGAATCTGTTATCACTGAGTAAGATTGGGAGTTCATCAAGGAACCAGTCAGGATGGTGTTTCACGAGTTGAAGTAGATAGTTCACATTATCAAAACTGAATGTTTTAGGATGGCCAGGAGTACTGTAGTTGTGTCGAACAACATCCCCCATTTCATGCCAAAGTTTGATCATCCACCAAAATGTACTTTCTGAAAAGCCAACACAGTTGAATATTTGTTTGAGAGAGTGTATGTTCTGTTCATGAAGCTTGACAGCTGCAAGTTTGACATCACGACTAATTTTTCAGAATGGCATGGTGGTGAGCACTGTGTTTCACACTGTTATGATTTTTTATTTTTTTATTTTCCTAATGTATTTGAGTCACATATGTACTGTCGACATTTTTGCACATAGCTGTAAATAATTGAGCATGCCTCAAGATGCATGATCAAAGCCTGAAAATATTGACAATTAATTTCAACCCCAGATTCATGCTCAAACAGGGAATTTGTATACATATAATGCTGAATTTGTTGGCATGGATCTGCCTTATTGTTGAATTTATAATCAGATAATGAGAATGACAAGTATATGTTGACCACAAGATTAGATATACCACATGATCAAATGCGTAATAAATTTAAACTCTGTTTTAAATTGGGTGGGGGGACAGAGTGCAACTATGTTGGGTGGGCACAGGGAGGAAAAATCAAGAATATGTACATGGATATTTCTGATGCTAGATTCTGATGATGATCCTGAAAATGTGCATAGGGCATATGAGTGCCCCATTGAGTGCACCACTTAGTGGGGCACTGTCTGATTTGAGTATTCTGTCAGATGTCCACTCAATTCATCTACTCACACTAGAAAGGGCCTGGCCTCAACACTTGGTGGACAGCAGATGAATGGATTAATTTGCTACAATGCTTCCAAGTGCTACTCTAAGATGCCTGGCAATGACCCTGAAAACCCTCTAAAGCACCTGCACACCCAAACTAGACTGACCCCTAATGACCCTAGATGCCCAAATACCCTACTACAATGCAATGTGACTATGAGTGGATGTACAATGGCAACTTTTGTATAGAATACATAGTAATGCACATAAAAGTTACTGTATGATATAGTATGCAATATGATGACAGGTGCTGGCACATAAGTTACTGTAGGGATATGGTATGCAATATAATGACAGGTGCTGCAGGGTCAACATAGATCAGTGGATTGGGATAGTATGAATCACAAGTTAGAGCTACTTATCTTTAACTGAAAAGGATTGTCTGGAAAAGAGAAGAGCACTGTGAGCATCTTGGATGGACATGTATGTTTGGCCTTGGACAAGGTGGATGCCTTGATCAGCTGAAGAAACTGGAAAGGGTCCAGATGAAGGGGCAACAACCAACAAAAACAAATCCTGCACAGAATTCTTTGGACAGTCAATCAGTCAATATCATGGCACCAGAGGCCACCAAACCAAAACCAAAACCAAGACCAGTCCCAAAGAAGTCCAAAACGTCAATGAGGCTAAAATTTCAAGGTAGCAAGAGTTAGCCCCCAGCATCTGAACTACAGTCATAGTCTCTGAGCTCACCAGAAGAACACATGCCCAGATCCCAGCTTCATGGTCCTGACTTGCAGTTTGGTTTTGTTCCCCCCAATGTGATTGTGGAGGCAGGTGGCACTGTGGAGGATAAGGATAGTTCAGAAGACTCAGAGGAGGATAAGGATGGTTTAGGTGATGACAAGGATGATTTGGATGATGACAAGAATGATGCAGACACTAACAATGTTAATGGTACCTGTCTTGTGTTTTTTTTTCTACAAAGCTAATGGCAGGCACTCTCCATTTGCAGATTTCATGCATGATGGTGAAGTCCAGTCCCTTACCCACAGCACTAACTCTCTGTTTTGGTCCACAGATGACAATGATACTATCCCATTCCCTCCCTGAAGCACTAACAACTCTCTGATGAAGAAAAAGAAACATGCACATCCAATCTCTCCATCTCAGTCTACTGATGATGGTGCTACTCTACCCCCTTCCTGCATGAAGAAACAGAATAGTGCTATCCTGCCCCCTCCCCATGTGACAAAAAAGATATGTGTGCATCCTGTCTCTCAATCTCAGCCTGAAAATGATAGTGACATCCTATCTTGTCCCCAATGTGCCGACAACTCCCATGCTCGCTCTGTTCCATCAATGGATAGCAACATTCCATCTCCTCCAAGGCACCGTGAAGCAGCTAACAACCCAGGTAGAGGGAACAACTATGCTAGGAGCTGGGATCAGCTGGTGGAAAGCAGCCCTAATAATGCCAGTTCTGTACATGACATCCTTGAGGACCATCATGCAAAGAACCATCATCCTTGCCCACCCAACCCAGGTAGACTCAAGAATCTGCATTAGCAGGTGGTGGATGAATCATCTGCCAACAAAGAGGACAAGGTTGTAGACTCACCCAAGAGGTGGCATTCAGCCAACAAAGTAGTGTCTCAAACCATTGGGTTTTATCCCTACTCTAGGAAAGACATCCTGGAGGCCTCAAAGAAGAAGTCACAACTAGGGTTGGTCATGGATGGTGCCGCTTCAAACTGCAAGACTTTTATTGAGAAGACAGGTATTGAATATCTCACAGAAGCACTTGACAATTTTGCAGTGGATGATATTGGCGTCGATGACAGCTACTGGGATAGATATAAACATGACATGGCAATTATTGTATGTACACAGAGTCTCTCATAGTGGATACTAATTTTTTATTTTTAGTTATGGGATGACCATGCTACAATGTGGTCTGAGATGAAAAAAGCTGCACAGTCCATTACTGCCACCAAGTTTGACATCCTACCATCAGACATTGACAACGACAATAAGTTTGAAGACTATGTCAGTCAACAAGTCACGGAGTTATTGGATGGAGGCTATTTCTTGCAGAATGGTGTCAATGAACAGGTGGGTTGATGAGAGATGCAATTAAAGGTGCTAGATATTCTCACTAGGGGAGGACCAACAACCTTGCCCATGACGTGCTTGGTGCAATACCATTTTCTATAAGGGTGACAATGCACTCGCAAAGGTCTTCCCAAATGTATTTGCTGAGGCCATTCCCAAGGGTACCGTGGCACTTGCAGCAACCGTGGTAGGTGTCAATCCCCTCACCTTCTTATTCAGCACTCACTTCCACTAGCTTGCTGCAGCCATTGACGAGTGTCACGAATTCCTAATACAAATCATTTTTCATTTCTCAGTTTTCCTTCAGCTACTTCCAGTACCTGAACCAGTCACGTGGCTCCTCACCCTTTCACACCTTCACCAGTCACATCTCCAATTGGCTCCCCTACTCCATGGGCTAGAACAATCTCGCTTCCCAAAGAAGAACTGGTTGGATCTTGGGTTTCTATTTAGTTGCCGTCTTACTCATTGCTTATATGTCATGATGTCATGATCAGTCATCTGCAGTATCATACGACTCTTTTCTCATTGGCTGATTTCTTTCATACTCAGATATCTCCTATTCAATGTTATGTATATAAGTAGGTTAGTTAGCCTAAGTACTCCTTAGACTTAACCTCTTCATTCTCTACAGTTGTAGTAGACCTAGACGTTCACACTCAATCTACCTTGTTCTCATCATCAACTGTGACCAAGTCCTAGTGGTTGTTGTCTGACTTTACCATTCGGTGAACTCAGGTCATAACATTAGGTTAAGTCTTCTTACCACTCCGACTTGAACTTTGTCTTGGACATCACTGTTCTCAACAAACTTCACTATGCTATTCTGCTGAGATTTATCTCATGGATTACGTTTAATTCAATCATCATTCCCCGATGTGTTTTGTTATATCAATCTCTTTACATTACTCTTTAGTAGAAGTGAACCAGGCCCTCATCTTACTACGAGCCGCCAGTTCATAAGGATCAGTGACACTTAGGTCCTGTTTCTGCATGTCTGCAGTTAGACCCAAAGCCCTGCCAACTGTATGCTACATATCTGCTTTCTACATAACAGAATGGCACTCGTGACTGTCCTCTCACAGTCTAGCTACTTTATGATAAGAACCTAGGGTGCTAAAAGTAGACCCAAAGTTCACCGTGTCTTTCGCGAACTCCTCTCAAGTTCTACTTAGGTTGATGAACCACTACATGCACTGTATTCGCACCTTTATCATCATTGCCCCGCCATACAGATCCCGCCTTGTTGAGGCTAGAGCTCTTGCCTTACACGACAATGCTTCCTGTCTAGCAAACAACTGCTCGTTTTTCAATGTCTGAGAATCTAGGAGAATCTGGGATTGCTGATTCCGAGGATACAGAAGTGACAATGGCTCCGCCAACCATTCCACCTGGCAACAGCTCCAGACAGAGCAACAATCCCATCTCTGGCACCATTGTCATGGATCAACCAAGGCCCAGTCGTATCTGTAGAACCATCCACCACCCCAATCGAAGGCCCTTCTGCACCGCCAGGCATCTCAGGGCCCGGGCCGACTATCATCACCCACAAGGACATTTCAGACGCAATCCACGTCGTCATCACACAAGAAAGAACGTACACCAGAGCCTTCATAGACCAATTGCAGAGGGAGATTGATGAGCTCCAAGCAGGCATGGTACACGCGGACGATGTGATCGTGGATCTGAGGATCAGAGTGAGGGACGCAGAGAACAAAATCATGGATTTGGAAACCTCGTCTACAATGAAGACCCCAGGACCTATATCTGGGACTTCAAGCTCTGATCTCAAGATGGCGAAACCCGCAGATTTCACAGGGGACAAGAACTCCATTGACGTTGACACTTTCCTCACCCAACTCAAAATCTACTTCACAGGTTACCCTGGGGCGACAGAACATCAGAAAAGCTCATACTTAATTTCCTTCTGTCGGGGGTCAGCATCAAAGTGGGCAGAAAGTGTCACTCCAAAAGCTCTTGGAGGCGCAATCGGGTCTTACAATGAAATCAAGAATGACATGAAAGCCATGTGGGGACTCGTCAATAAAGAGGAAAAAGCAGCAAGGGAATTGGAAGCCCTCTGTCAAGGAAACCACACAGTAGCAGAGTACGTTTCCCTCTTCCGGCAGAAGATTGCCCACTGCCACTTCTCTGACTATGAGCTCATGCGCAAGTTCTGCTTCAGAGCAGACCAACGGGTTAAATTCCAGTTGGCATTTGTCTGCCCTGATACGAAAGACACTCTGGAGGGCTTGATCAGAGAGGTGCTCGTCATCGGGCAAAATCTGGAGGAGTTTGACAAAGAGAAGAAGACTGGCTTTGTACCCCACCGCCAGTGGCAAGGTGCTGCTGCAATATCTGCACCAGCAGCACCCAAGACCATGTCGCAAGGAGGAAATGCGATAGACGTTGATGCAACCAGAACAGGAGGTAGACCCCAACCTCAAGGACAACTGGGACGTGATTTCAAATGCTACCATTGTGGAGAAGACAGGCACATGGCTCGTAACTGCACGGGAAAGCCTCTTGACAAGGGCAAGGGACTGGCTGTCCGCACCATCAAAGGAGAAGAAGTTCCAGCTGTGAAAGCACTCACACTGGAAGATATTAACCACATCATAAATGAGAGGATCTGCCTCTCCACCATGTACAACCCAGAGAAGAAGGGTTTTTAGATAGATCAAAGTTAACTGCAAACTTAGATCAGAAGAATCATTTTTCCATTCTTGGTGACTCGGCAATTATGTTTACAGAAGTATCAGAAGTTTGTTCTGGGAATAAACAAGAGCATTTTTACTTGCCAGTTACGTTGGAAGGAAAACACAAGAAAGCAGCTGTTAATGCTCTAGTAGACTGCGGAGCAACAAATCTCTTCATTGGTAAAAAGTTTGTAGAAAAGAATCAAGTCCAAACCAAGCAGTTGTTGCAAGCAATGTCGATCCGCAACATTGATGAAACTACAAATTCTGCCAGGCCAATTACAAGATATGCAGATTTGAAGCTCACGATAGGGGACCATGAAGAAGAAGTGGCTTTCCTAATCACAGATCTAGGAACTGAAGATGTCATCATTGGAGTAGATTGGCTATGATACCACAATCCCAGTATTGATTGGAATGCGGGAAAGGTGGCATTAGACCATTGTCCGGTTAAATGTCAAAAAGCCAAGGTCAAGGACAAAAAGACCAAGGCAAAGAAGCAAAGAGCCATGAACTCTTCGATCCTTTCGGTGTTGCCCAACTTGATACCGGCAGAAGATGATGAAGATGAGGATATTGAGGGAGCCTCTATCCATCATCAGAGTCAATCAACAGGCTTCAACTCTTCGCCTTTGTCACATGAATCACGAGGACATGTTAGGCTTGAGGAAGAAGAACAATTGGACCTTGCTACTACTGTTGGACATGGAGCTATCAAGAATGTGCCTGAGATTGAGGAGGTTGAGAATGAGGATTCATCACGAAATGTGTGGATCAGATATAAGAGCTCTGTAGCGTCAGAGTTAGCTCAGCAGGAGGAAAAGAAGAAGAAAAGAAGCCTGTGGAAGAAATGGTGCCAGAGTGGCTCCATGACTACCTTAAGGTCTTCTCAGAAGAAGAGTCTACTCGATTCCCTGAGTCAAAAAAGTGGGATCACAAGGTAGACCTTAAGGACCCTAACGATCTTCCTCCCAATGCGAAGGCATATCCTCTGTCACCCGCCGAAAATGAAGCATGTGAGAAGTGGCTGAAGCAAGAATATGATTTAGGACAACTGAGAGATTCCAAATCTCCAGTAGCAGCTCCTTTCTTCTTTGTTGCTAAGAAAGACAGAAAGCTCAGACCTATCATGGACTATCGGAGGTTGAATGGGGAAACCATCTGAAATGCATACCCTCTCCCTTGTTCTCAAGATCTCATTGATTGTCTCTCTGGTGCGAAACTCTTCTCGAAAATGGACGTTCAATGGGGTTACAATAATATTAGAATGAAAGAAGGAGACCAGTGGAAGGCCACCTTCAAAACTCCTTTTGGACATCATGAACCAGTCGTAATGTACTTTGGCATGACGAACTCCCCAGCTACTTTCCAAACTATGATGGACCAAATCTTCCAAGATTTAAAGGAAGGCAAGGTTGTTGTAGTCTACATTGACAACATCTTGGTCTTCACCAACGATGATGTAGAGAAACATCAGAAGGTGGTGCACGAGGTACTACAGAGACTACAGGACAATGATCTCTATCTCAAACCGGAGAAATGTTCCTTTGAGAAGAAAGAAGTAGAGTTTCTTGGTTTGATTATCAAAGATGGACATGTCTCCATGGATCCAGTTAAGGTTAAAGGAGTTCAGGAATGGCCTACTCCTACCTGCATTAAGGATATCCAAAGATTCATGGGATTTGTGAACTTTTATCGTCGATTCATTCTTGGTTTCTCGAACATTGCTAGACCCATGAATGAGCTCATCAGGAAGGATGTACCATGGGAATGGATGGACAAACAAGAGAAGGCTTTCAGAACCCTTAAGGACAATTTCACTTCCGCACCAGTACTAGTTATGCCAGATGCAAATAAGAAACAGAAGATAGAGAGTGACACATCTGACTATGCTACTGGTGGTGTACTTTCTCAACTGGAAGAAGACGGACTATGGCATCCAGTGGCTTTTTTTAGTAAATCAATGCAGGATGCAGAGAGGAACTATGATATCCACGACAAGGAACTTTTAGCTATCATCCGTGCATTGGAAGAGTGGAGGCATTATGTGCAAGGTACACCTCATCCGGTAGAGATTTGGATGGACCACAAGAACCTCGAGTACTTCATGACAAGCCAGAAGTTAACTCACAGACAAGCGAGATGGTCCTTGTTCCTTACAGAATACAACTTCACACTGCAACACAAACCGGGGAAGGTTAATGACACTGCTGATGCTCTGTCCAGGAGGCCAGACCACAGAGGGGGGGTAGAAAATGACAATTCCGATTGCGTGCTTTTGAAACCTGAGTTTTTCCATATTAAAGCTGC